TTAAAATCAAAAGTTGTTTTTTATATGAGAGATTAATAAGGTTTTATCCTTTTGATCTAGGTTTGATCTAGCCTTTTTCTCTGTTAAATTCAGGAAAGTGCAAAGGGTCCACAGGTTTGGTAAATGGTCTGCAGTGGGAAAACCTCTGTCGAAAATAATTAAATTAAGTCGTGGATCATTGCCGTGCAAGTCACGCTCTCATCGCCATTTCAAAAAGGCACCGCTCCACATTTTGTCCCTTGGCAGTAGTTTAGCGATGAAGCCCGCTGTCATATTTGCCAAGCGCTTCACATCGAATCGCAATCAGGTCGGATGGATGGATGGAACACGACTATATATACCTATATCGAGTGGCGGGGGGGCTGGGCGCCAAACGTTGATTAATTTCTCGTTTTTACGCCATTTTCTATTTGTCTTGTGCGGTAATTACGACAAGTCCTTGCAGGAGGGTGGATGCCCATGTACCCAGATAGCCGGCAACTTCCTGCCGCGTGTCCAAGACAAACACGAAAATTCTCGAGCTGCAGAGTCCGGCGGTCCTGTTCCGTTCCGTTCCACTCCGCCGGACGGACTGCTTCCGGTAATTGAATCAAATGAAGCAGCATTAGTATTAGCTTCTTATGGTCGGCGGTATCGTTCGGGAGATGCTTCCTCTGGCATAACTCTGTTTATTTTTGTAAATTAATTTTTAATTTAATGTACGTGTGGTGGGCGACGCGCTAGTATCACGCCACGTTGACTGGAGCGACAGGAAGTGGGCGGGGCCGAGGACCTTCAACCTCCCAAACACCACCCACCCAAGGCAAGCAGCGAAAGCAAAGCAAAACAAAAGTGGAAAGCCAAACACAATTGGACACTGATGTAGAAATTTGTATTCTCTAACGGGGAAATTGTTATAGATATTGAGAATATCATATTCGCGATCCAAAATTCTGCACAATTAAGACACTTCTAGTATGTGTAAATCAATAATTTCTCTAAAATCATAATAACACTTTTAAGGTGAAAATACTGTTGCTTACTAAACAATAAATAAATAGTTACACGAAATATTTAATTTTTTCTTCAATATGACACGACATATATGTATGCTTATACTTTTTACACTGGGAAAATAGACTGCATACACCCGAAAACCAGTGGGGCTAATATATTGAGTGATGTTATCTGCCTAAGGGAATATCGACAAATGAATTGCCACGTCGGTTAACCATAATGTTACCTTGAGTAGTTGATTCGAATAGGAAACAACGAAGTAATAATTTTATTTTAATTTTTTCCCAATTTTTCTTATAAAACTACAATTTCTGAAATCGCTCAAAAAACAATACTCGCTAAAAGTTGTTTTTGTTTCAATTAAGTACAATATATAATGAAGAGGGAAATAACTTTTTAAAATACCAAAACTATTACATTTTTTATATTTGTTAAAATAATATATTGCTTGGAAGAGCTTTTTGCATAGAAAATAAACGAATAAGTACCAAAACAAATTCGGGTTAAAGTGTAATGTAAAGTGGTTCTACGGGTGGTTCTTAGGCATAAGAACAACAATAAGTTGAATACAAGGAACCAATTGTCAGCTAGTCAATATTCATTTTCCTTCCATTCCAAGATTAGATTAAATTATGTTTCCCACTTAAATCCCTGCCCGAATCGCTTAACAAGCCGCAGATACCCTTAATTTCAAACAGGGCCCATAAAGAGCCCAAAAAATCTGCCCAAGACCAGTAGATGAAGTAAATAGTCCCTGGCCCCAGCTCCACACTCAAATATAAAGTAGGAAAAGCAGTTTTCAGCTGGTCAGCAGGCTGTCGAAAAATAAAAGTAAAACAAAGTGGGGCGGCGTTGAAGGGGCGAGGTGGGCGTGGACTATGGTATAAAGCGAAAAGACGACGAAATACTTTTTCAAGATAAACGGAAACAAGCCAAGATGGAATTAATTTTCCGCTTTGAACAAACAAGCGGATGTAAATAAAAAAAAAGCAGCACAAAAAAAACGAACCAGGAACCAGAAGCAACCTAGAGAATCCAACGGAGACGTCGACGTCAAAGTCAAAGGAGTGGGGAAAAGGTCCTTCGGTGGGGGCCCAAAGGAAGTAGACGCAACTAAGGCCAAGGGGAGTTTTGGGAGTCCGCAGAACAGGAGCTTCGATGTCTGCCAAGTTTAGCAAGTTTAGTCTGGACACGGGCTGGCCCAACGTTATGTGCTGTTAATGACTGTACAAGAAGTTTAATTGTACGACTGCCTACACGGAAAAAAAATGTTGTTTGAAGAACACACGTGAGAAAAATGTTTTCAATTTAATCTTTCGCTAAAATTTAAAATTTAATTTCACCTCTATCTGGGTAAGACTTTTATTTTAAATAATAATTATAATTATTAGTCATTTCAAGTTATTTTTTACTTAGGTATACTCTTACAACTTATTCTTAGGACTTATTAACAAAACAGTTTAATAACAAAATATAAATTGCTTTGGGCGCCATTTGGAACTATTTATAAAATAATATTTATATTGTTTTTTCCTTCTTTTACGTTGTCTTCCTTCCTCAAGATGTATTAAAAATTTGTTTTTGTTGATTTTGTTAAAATTAGCTTGTACTGTAAAAGAATGGCAAGTACGTTTAACAAACTCTTTTGGGTGCTTTACCGATATTTTTTTCTAATAAAATAAAAATAATTATTATTAGACAACTATTTAGTAACCATTTGGTTACCTTATATTCTTATATTCATTCTAAAAAAGTGAGTAAGTTATAAGTCGGATACATTTACACTACCATTTTTACGTGTGCAGATGGAAAGCTTTGGGGAAAAACAGGGATGCGGAGTGGGGGAATGGAGGTGGCTCCCAGATGGGCGTGTGGTAATACTACACACACGCATATTGACAAATTGCAATTTAAATAGACAGCAATAAGTTAAACAGACGCACACACTCAACGCATTAACATTGGGGGATAATGGGGGAGCGGGGGTTCCGAGGGGAGGCGGCCAAAAACACGCCACGTCTAATTAGTTTAGCAGGGCGCTCGGGGAGGTCAGGGGGCATCAATCGGCCGAGATGCTAGAGATGAGCAATAATTAGGCAAAAAGTTAATGCGATGAGGGAATTACAATGCATTTAGCCACGAATAGCTGGCAAAAACATGTGACATAAATTAGGGACTGAGAGCAATGTCCAGGATAAATGATGAATTATGATCATTTTTCTGATGAATCCTTGTAAGCAGTTTGAAGGCAGTCTAACAAAACTAATAGTGGTAAATAGTATTATTATTAAATTTTGTGTGGCTAGCCCTGTATTTTAATGATTTAATTTTAAGACAACATTGATTCTTTAATAAATATGGTTTCATTTAACAAATTTTTTACTTATAAATAGGATTATAAACTAAAACTAAATTCAGAATGAAAATATTTTTTTGGAGAATTCTTTAATTCTTGTTTGGCTTTTATTTTAAAAACATTCTCGTAAGACGACTTATTTCAAGGTGGAGTGATCAACAGTAACTTTTACAATAACGAATAGTATAAAATATCTATAGGTATAGTCGTTTCGAAACATTTTTTCACCACTGAACTGGCGTGTGTTTCAAAAAGTGTTAGGACAAAAGGTTTTTTAATTAAGCTGCTCAAAATTATAGGAACCTTCACATCAAAATATTATTAATTCTGTGGCTATATATATTATACTGTCTTTCCGCACACTCTTAACGCGATTCGCCACTACAAAGACTGCCGTGGTAGTAAAAAATGTAGATCCCTTTCAAATGAAACAAAATATCTTGTTTGTATCCATCACATTTTCCTTTTCTACTCCTGTAAGATTTTGATTTTTTGTGTGTATCAAACAAATTACACCATTTGATCAGCTTACAATGTCAAAAAACTCTACACATATTTTTATAATACTCGGTTTGAGCCTTTGGACCACGCATGCAACAGCAACAAATGAGACAACTGCCGCTCCACAAAATTTAAGTTGTGCAGACTGTTGGGAGGATAACGAGAAATGTCGAATCGAAAAGATAGGATATAGTTGTCAAAAAAAACCAAGAAAGAGTAGCGCTGAGCCACACTTCTCAATTTATCCCGAAAGTGTCAAAGATTTGAGCGTTTGCATTCCGCCCAACTTGAAAATCGGTATTACGAGCAAAAGTATCTTCTTTTTTTTATCAAGCTGTACTTACCCTATAATTTAGAAGTAACGGATATCGAAATCTGCTGCGTTTGGTCCCCTAAACTTGGCTGTCAAATGTTATTATCGGATGAGCACGACCATATGGGTTGTTACATTTGCACTGCTGACGAGGACTGGGTAGACTTTAAGGACTTGGCCAGGTGTCCATGTGTATGGGCACATGCTGGGCGACTCTATGGCAGCACTTTGTCTGTATTTGTGACATATTTGGTGCGCGAATTCGTGAAAAACTTAGTGACGCACTCATAATGGCGACTATTTAATTACAAATTTTAAAATAAAGTATCTTAAAGTATAATGTGTCTTATATATTTTCAATATACTATTACATGTTTTTGGAGCACAGTCTTAGGCTTAGCTAGAGACTTCCAGCATCCAGTCATTTGATATCATCCCTATTTTCCTCATCCCTAGAAAACCACATAATACATTTACAGACTAAATACATTAAGGCATTTTTACTACTTTCCCATCAACTTCCCTTCGTTTTTGGTACAATAGTTGCCATTTTGTCGAACTAGGATATCTGAATCTAAGATGGTTTTCGTTGTTGTTGTTTTTGATTGTGTGCGGCAAATATTGATGGAAAAATTTACGCACACACGCACACAATTAAACACATTTACACACGGTGATAAACAGCCTACACACATACACACACTCAAATAGAGATGAATAGAGGGTAAGTGGTAATTGATGAGTTTCCGTTTATGGGAACATCAATCATACGCACTGTATGCCAACGCTTTGCAACCAGGTTAAACAAATAACTCTTTAACCACCAACCGGGCGTATCTTCGCGTCTGACTTTATTTGCCAAAACATTGTCAAAATCTATCTATGACTATATACACGGGTATATTCTGAATATTAGACTGTCAGACTTCGGAGTTCCTTATGGAAGCTACAGATGCTGTTGTTTCGGTTGCGTTTGACTTGGTGGCCACCGGTAGACTCTGCCGCTTGGTCCAGCACAGAATATTCACCCAGATCAGACCGCAAACACCCATATAAATAACACGGAACCGGGGCGCCACCAGTGAAAAGTTCAAGGCCTGGGCAGGCAGCCAGAAAATACAAGAACGCACGAAGGTCGGCACGAACTTCTCACGCAATTCCAGGAAAGTATCCTCAGAGCCCTCCATAATGGACATGCCTAAAAAGATAACAATTTCGAACAATTATTTTAATTTTCGATACTAGCCGTTTATTTGAAAACAGTTTTTTCAAAAAATTAATTTTATGAATATTTCAAATATTTATATATATTATTTCTGATCAGGTTTTCGAAATGGTTGAAAGTTATTCAGATCAATTATGGAATTATTGTTCTCTAAAATCTTATGGCAATACTAAATACTTCCATAATTAATTTTTTAAGCTAATGCGTAGATTACATTTTGTAACCGAAACATGAATTTTTATCTGAACATTTTGTTAATTGAATAATTTTAAAACACTCTTAAAATTAGGGACATTGAAATTAATAAACTTAACTAAAAGGACATTGAAATTAATAAACTTAACTAAAAGGTATTAGACAAAATTAAAAAGCATCTTACCTGCATAAAAAACAGTCAGTAGATAAGGCGTTAAAACAAATTGATCCAATACCAATTTTTTTACTATAACGATTTTGGCAGTGCCTGGAAAAACGCGATCTAACCATTTGTACCTGGAAAATTCGTTAATTAAATTATTGTTAAATTTGTATAGTTAATATTTGATTTAATATAATAAATGCAGAAGCAGGCAGAATTCATAGAGTGCTGTGTAAGTTAATCATATAGTGTTTATGAAATGTTTGTGTGCATTTTATGGTGCGTATTTTTTGGGTTAGTGTTGAACATATAGAATATTTTGTTTTCCTGTAGGTATGTTGTATCAATATCGTTGCGTGTTCTTGTATTTAAATATCCTTGTGTGTTTTTTGTGTTTGTTGTCATGATTCTTCTTTACTGATTTCCTTCATACTTCATCATTCATAACTTACATTGCATAGTACTTTTTATGGTCGTGCACATATGCCTCAATTTCTTAGTGCGTTGCGTGCTTTTCTCGAAAGCTTTTCCCTCTGTTTTAATCTTAGAGGAAAAGCTATGTGCTCTGGTGGCAGATGGTGCTTCTAAAGAGAAAGTGTGAAGAGAAAGTGAGTGGTGAAGAGACATGCTCTTGACTTTGCGACACGTGCTCATGGAGCTTTTACGAAATTGTAAACAAATTGATAAAAGTCGAAAACAACAACAGAAGCGTACGGCGAAGCAAATTGAGGAAATAAAAAGAATGGTTAAATGGCGAGCACGTTAGTGTGAGTAAATTGACTGGTTCACCGATGTATGTGCAGACACAACTGCGGTCAAGATAATAGCTACGATTGGTATTCGCTTAAAACTTTGAATCCACAATTAGATTTATTATCTGAGGATGCTGCCTAATCATAATATCATACAACCAAAATTTAAGTACTTTACAAAAAAATATAAATTTCGGTACAATAATAGAGCCCATTAACACAAAATGACTATTTGAAGGGTTCTGATTAATAAATGAAATATTGAAAATATCTATTACATCTTAATACTAGATAGTTTTTTCCTTTTTTACAAAATTAAGATTTCTCTGGATAGATAAATAATCATTCAAATATTTAGAGCTATTATGTCGACCTTTGTTGTTTTATATACAGAAATGAAAGTAGATATGTAAAGATTTATTTATCTGGTGGGCACAAACCAAAAAAAAGGGTTGGGGCATATACTGCGGTGCCCATCACAGCATATCTTCCTATTGTTGCATAATCGATATCCTCCTTCTCGGGCGCCGGCTACAGGGCACATAAATCTGATTAGAAATCTCCAGATACACCCCTCGGATTCATCCCGTCCCCAGATTCCCCACATACTTCATTAGAATACTAAAACTTACGGCCAGCCAGCGTTTCGATACGAATTGCTGCGAGTATTCGGCGCCCACATATAGACTCCCATAGATTGCGCTGTTGGTCACGAATGGATACTGACGGAATAGTGTACGGACTCCCGAAATCAACCGAGCCATTGTCTTCCTGTACTTGCTTAAATTCGATTAAATTTTTTTGTATATATAATTTTTTATAAATATTTTTTTAAGCGGCCAGCCGCTGGCGGTGACGGAGCTTTACTGAGGAACATTTCCAAAAAGCGGCTCAGCTGTTACAAAAGACAATCAAAAAGTATCAGAGAGCCAGGAAAAAAAAGAGAGAGGAGGTTACCTAAGAGAAAATTTAACTGTTTACGTGTTTTGAATGCAAGCAAAAAAAGATGAGAAAATTTAGTATATGGAATTGTTTAATAAAAGCTTGTAAATGCAGTTAGCTTTCTAGCAATATCTACAGAGTGCTTATCAGCAGTCACAGATAAGATTTAATTTTTACAAACTGAAGAGAAATATGAAAGCTTAATATAATTATTAAAAAAATAACGTATAATACATAATTAAACGCAGACAAATTACCGCGAAAAACGAATACAAACTTTATTAAACTTTTCGTTCTTATTTTTATACCCTTGCAGAGGGTACTGAAACTTGTAATTGAAACTTTGCTCACACCCCTCGATCCTTTGCACGCAGTATATAGGTCGGAACGGCCGGGATCGGCCGACTATAACTGCCATATAACTGATTGATCGGAAATGCCATAATTTTGGTGTTTTTAAAGTTAGGAAGTTGGGATTTTTATGGGTTTTATTTTTGGCCAACCAATATTCCGAATATTCTGCAAAGGTATATCAACTTCGGCTCCGCCTGAAATTAGCTTTCCTTTCTTGTTTTAAGACCCTTTGTCTGAAATAAAGAACATTAGTTCAGAAATAAAGAACAATCATCCATTTGCTTAAAAAACAAGACCTCTAGGTTATATAAAACTATTTGTTCATTAAAGAGATCCTTTGAAGGGCCACTTCAAGTTATATAAAGTAAGTTATTTTTAAAAATAAATATAAACATACCAAAATTTTAAAATAAATATTTTATTAAATTTAGTTAGGTATTTTATCTTCATGATGTTTTTCTCCAATCCGAAGTTATTAAGAAAAGAGTAAATAATTAATATTGTTACACCTGGAACTTCGGACGAATGAAATGAGGTGAACCCACTTGGGAAATTTTGTCTCAATAGCTTCACGTAAATATTGGCAGGGATCACAAGACTGTAATCTTTTAAGAGTATCATAAAACAAAGAACTATTTTCTTAGATAACTGTGCAGCTCGAGGGGTATAAAACTTTTCCATTCCGTAGTATCTTCATCAGTTATCGCAAAATGTTCAATAAATACACTGTGCTCTGGACTGTATGGGTATTACTTTCTCTCGTTGGAGCTTATCAAGTGATACCAACTATTGAAGATGGTAATTTAAATTAGAAAAATAAAACAATAATGTTTCTAATTCATCGAACTATTCTGTAGGAATACCAGATAACCTGAACATTACCACAGGTCCATTCGTTAAAATCGGCCACGGCTATTATTACATTGAAATCAAGTCGACAAAGAACTGGTTTGATGCAGCGGAGTCTTGTCATCGCATAGGTGCCCATCTGATAGCGTTTGAGACCATTGAAGAGTGGGATTTGGTTAATCAATACCTGTTCAACAACGTCATAGATAATGTATACTGGACCTCGGGTGCGGACTTGGCAAATCAGGGAAAGCATAATTGGTTTTCAACTGGTGAGCCCTTGACATTAAATATTTGGTATCCGGGAGAACCAAATAATTTAAATGGAATAGAACATTGCGATGCGTTGGGAGACCGGCGTTCAGTAACCAATTATAATGTTTTAAACGACATGAATTGCGAATCCCAAAAACTTTACATTTGCGAAAGATTATATCCAAAGACCGCCTCAATTGTTATCTGGTGAGCGATTAAAAACATCGTTTTAAAAGTTTAAGATATGTAATAAATATTAAACATCTGATAAAAAAAACCAAACCTATGTGTATTTATAATAAGAAAGGAAGCAAACTTCGGCAAGCCGAAGTTTATATACCCTTGCAGTTATTACACAACAACATGTCGATTTCTAGCCTATATTACTAAAAACAATGAAGCTATTTCGATTTTGCGCTGCAGTTTGCCAAATATGATATTGTTGTCCGATTTTAATAAAACTAAAAGCGTAATTCTGAAATAGTAAATAATTACTGTATCTCAAAGGAATATTTTTTGATTTTTATTTTTTGTAATATTTTTATTTATTATACCCTTGCAGAGGGTATTATAATTTTGGTCGGAAATTTGTAACGCAGTGAAGGAGACGTTTCCGACCCCATAAAGTATGAATATTCTTGATCAGGATCAATAGGGGAGTCGATATAGCCATGTCCGTCTGTCCGTCTGTTTCAATATCGTTTGTGAGCTCAGGTTAAAAGCTAGCGATCTAAAACTTTCACCGTCGTCCTAAAACATGTGTACGCAGATCAAGTTTGAAAACCGCCCCGATCGGATGGCTATATCCTATAGGTCACATAGGAACAATCGGATATATCTTGCAAGAATGGAATGGCTATTGACATATATCTTTCCAAATCTTATTTTTTTATAAATACCTTGATCAGGGTTAAAAAACTGTAATTCCATAGAATAGCAATGATATGGTAGCCCGATCTGGATCGTTCCGACTTATAGAATACCTGCAATAACAACTTTTGGGAAAGTTTCAAGCAGATAGCTTTAAAACTGAGGGACTAGTTTGCGTAGAAACGGACAGACGAACGGACGGACAGACGAACAGACGGACAGACGGACGGCTAGATCGACTCTCCTGGTGATGCTGATCAAGAATATATACTCTATAGGGTCCGAAACGTCTCCTTCACTGCGTTGCAAACTTTTGACTGAAATTATAATACCCTCTGCAAAGTTATACAAATCGTCAATATTTTTATAATCAAGGAAGTGACGAGTTACACCTACATATATTTTCATATTAAATTAAAAATCTAATTTTCTACAGAACATTTTTAATATAAATATTATTGCTAGTCCTGAAACTGTATTTGCAATCTATTTGCAAAGATTTCTGACTATACCTTTTACCAATTCATTTCAAATAAATATCTTTGTAATTGCGTCAGGCCAAAATTATAAAATTAAGATCGCACAGTCAATCCTCCGATATTTTTTGTTCCTGCTTCCGGCTGGAAAATTACCTCCATAAAGTTTAAAATACGAAACCAGCAACAGTTCTACCTTAATCAAGAAGATATGCAACTTTCTCAGTCAGCAAAAAAATAAAAGCCGAGGAAAGAGCAACAAAACTTTAGCCCATAAAAATGCAATAAGTGTATCAAGTCTTGGAAACCCTTTCTGGCTAATGGCAATTTACGCACGACTAACAAACACCAGAGGAAATCCGTGAGGGAAAACGAGGAAAACGGGGAAAGTCGGGGTTTCAAAACATATGCGAAGCAAGGAAATCGGAGGCGGAGAAACGACAACTTTGATTGAGTGCCGGGGAAACTGAAGGCAAAGGTGTTAAAACTGAAACCAATTTAAAAAGTTGTGCGAAACCATATGGAAAGTGAGCCTGCGTGGAGGCAACTTTTGGATGGTCGTGAAGATACTCAAAAAAAATCTCAAACACTTTCCAGTAGTTTTCAAGAAATAAATATAAAAACTAAAATTTTTTAAGCTTCTTTAAAAATGGGTCAGTTTTATACAAGAAATAAGAGCTTACAGGAGTTACAAATAAAGAAAAGTATAATATGAAGCGAATATTAAATTCAAATCTTTAATAAACTTTTATAAAAAAGCATTTAATTTTAAAAATAAATACATTTTTATTGCCTTTATCTACCATTTATATCTACCATGATTGAGATTTATTTTATTTATCTTAGTTACTTATAAGACATGTATTTAAATGCAGGTGTCTTACAAATGTATATTTAAGTTTTTTTTTGTTGTTCAGCCGTTAAATACTTAAGTTCTTATTAAGTGAATTTTTATTTATCATGAAATTGTTAAATATGCGGTCACCCAACAAAGAAATTAAAGTCCAACTAATAACAATGTTTTATAGACTCCGAATTTTTAGTAGTGCAGTCAAAAGTAGGCAGTGAATTACTGACAAACAACCGTAGCACACAGCCTAGCACACACCTGAATATTTTCAGAGCCAGGTGACAAGACAAGACAACGTCGACAGCGACACGAACTGGGAAAGGACCAAGGATGAACCTGAGTGCCATCCTGAGGAGTGTGAGCAACGGTCTAGGCTTTGGGCCCGCCTCAAAAAGGAAGGATTCGGATAGCCTGCCGTTCACCACCCGTCAGAGTTCCGTCTCGCGCCCCAGTTCCACGTCGAGCTCCTCATCGAGGACCCTCGGCACTCCCCCCAACCTCCTGATCCCCTCGGAGGACGAAGAGGACATCTCGCCGGGCGAGAACCGATTGGCCACCGCTGCTGCACAGCTGACCAAACGTCAAAATCCCTACCAGCAGACCATCCAGCACATCCTGCGACTGGTCAGCGAACTGGAGCACACCATCCACGAGGATCAGCAGCAGGAATTCAAGTTGCGAATGGCCCTCGATCGGCAGACGGAACGGGTTCAGGAACTAGTGTTTTCACTGGACACGGAGAAGAAGCGGAACGGGCGGCTGGTGCAGCTGATCCGTGGCATCGACACCGCCAGCTCCGGGGACAGCGATCCGGAGGAGAGGATCCCCAGCGGGTCCCATGTTAAGTCCATCGGGGACTTGTACAATTCCATCAGTCCCTTGCTCATGCAACAGCGGTGAGTTTCCCAAAATGGAATAAAATCTACTTCGAGCTAATTTAAGCATATTTATACCCTTGCAGTGGGTATTATAATTTTGGTCAAAAGTGTGCAACGCAGTGAAGGAGACGTCTCCGACCCTATAAAGTATATATATTCTTGATCAGGATCACCTCCTGAGTTGATATAGCCATGTCCGTCTGTCCGTCTGTCCGTCTGTCCGTCTGTCTGTTTCTACGCGAACTAGTCTCTCAGTTTTAAAGATATCGAATTGAAACTTTGCACACACCCTTTTTTCCTTTACACGCAGTATATATGTCGGAACGGCCGGGATCGGCCGACTATATCCTATAGCTGCCATATAACCGATTGATCGGAAATGCCACAACTTTGGTGTTTGTAAAGTTAGAAAGTTGGGATTTCCTATGGGTTTTATGTTTGGCCAATTAATCCGACCTACCAAATTTCATATGGATCGGCCGACTATATCCTATAGCTGCCATATAACTGAACGATTGGAAATGCCATAACTTTGGTGTTTTTAAAGTTAGGAAGTTGTGATTTTTTATGAGTATTAAGAATGCATCATATGAATAATTTTGGAGAATATAATTTACAGAGTATTCTGCAAGGGTATATCAACTTCGGCTCCGCCCGAAGTCAGCTTTCCTTTCTTGTTTAGAGAACAGATTTATTAATATCATTCATCAAACATTTACTGAACCTATACTCCCATTTTATTTTGACAAAAATTTTTTAAAATAATTAAATGGGGTTTGGTTAGCATAACTATAAGTTCCATATAATTTAAGTGAGAACTAATCCGTTAGATAAATTAGTGCAATAGTCATTCTATTGTTTACCGTTCAACTTTGTAATACAGTGTTGATAAATATATATGATAAATCCGAGGTGTAGGATTTGATGTGATTTCGCAATTACTTTTTTATTAAATCTTTTTTGGAATGAATGTCCAATAGTATTTTAATATAAATATCTAGAAATATGAAAAATATGTAAAAAAAATATATATTTTGACGAAAGTTAAATACCAAGAACCTTACAATCAAATTATTATTATTTTTGTTGATCCATCATTGACTTCGCAAATCTCAACATGTAGAAAATAATGAAGATATGTATCTTAATATTTAATATTTAAATTAATAATCAAAATTATTTTTAAGTAACGAAAAAATCAGGGCTAATCAAACATAATTATTTTTATTAGTACCAGTTTTAATTATCCTGGTGTATCCTGCAGATACGATGAGCTGTCGGTATCCCATCGCCAGAGCCGCCGGCAGTTGGCGAAGAAGGATAAAGCTCTGAAGGTCCTTAAGTGCGAGACGGAGCAGCTGCACTCGAAATACGATCAGCTTTTCGATGAATATCGGAGTGAACAGCACCGCTTCGAGATGCTGTGTGCTCGCTACGTCAAGATGCAGATGAAAAAGAAGCAGCAAATCTTCAACCTGAAGAATACCCTCAGTCACGCCAGTGAGTGCATCTTCCACGCCCAACTGGCCATTGAAGAGGGTTGTCGTCGGGAAGAGTCCTCCATTTCCCAGGAGCACCTGCTGAACTTCAGCAGGAATGTGGAGTGTTTCCTAGGTGCCCTGAGGAATTGCTGCTGCCTGCGAAAAGTGCACGAAATTCAGCAGCTAAAGCTCGATACGGATGAAGTGGAAAAGAAGCAGATAGATGATGAAGTCACTCCAAAGGCCATGGAACCCTCGATCGCCAGTAGTGGCACCTACGTTCAGAACTCCTCAAAGCGACATCCTCGTATCCGACGTCACAGACATTCAACTCGTTGAAACTTACCTTTCAGTTACTCCTTAGCGTTAGGTTAATTGTGAAAATTTTTACCCAATAGAAAATTGCTTCATTTAGCGAATGAAAAGTGTAAAAAACCCAAAAATATGTTGACACAAATATAAAACCCTATCAAAACCACTTCCTTGATTTTGCATTTATCCCAATAAAATACCATAAAAATCTTTTAAAATTTGTGTAATACAAACTTTAAACCCAATTCATACTAAAAGATCAATGAAAAGTGTAAATGTAAATGTTAAGCAAAATTTTAGAGAGATTTAAAAATATATTCCTCAACTAAATTATGTTGATGTTATGCTATTATTTTTAATCTTTAAATACAAATTCATAGAATTACGATTTTTTCCCATGTTCTAATATTAAAAAGAAATTTTGTTTTAGTATTCTCCCAATAATGTTGCTTTTAATGCGTACAATTTGTAAAAAGCAAGAGAGGAATGTTTGTATTAACCAAAAGACTGGGAATCTGATTCGGTTTTTGTTTTAAAATTGGTGCCCTGGAATCACACGTCCGATTTGATTATTTGATATAACTTGATCGATCAGTAGCAGTAACGTCAAACTTGGAGTGAGCTATTCATATCGTTGAAATGTCGGCAATAAGGGCTAGAAGCTTATCAACGGGCAAGGATGTGCCTCGGTCATCCGGGCTCAGCGATAATAGCCGGTCCGACGGACAGTCCAATAGTCTATCCGATGATGAACTGGAGCCCGGAAATGAGGCGAAGCCGGCGGCAGATGTCACCATCTATAACTTCTATAATATGGGCCCGGCCTTTGGCAAGAAGTTCCCATTGCCCTACATTCGCTTCATGGTGGGCCAGGTGGTCAAGGATAAGTTGGGCAATAAGAACTACAGTCAGTCGGACGCCTTGAAGTGGACCCGCGATGTCGCCGACGAGATAAACCTCAAGATGAAGGGCCGGGGATCCTGTCCGAGGTTCAAGCACGTGGTGAACGTAATGCTATATCAGCAGACCGGATGCGGATGCTTCTACGGAGCCCGTGCCATTTGGGATCATCTATCCGATGACTATGTGAGCTATACCTACGATGGCGGCAGTTTCATCTGCATCGTCTCTGTTTTCGGTTGTTATCAGTATTGAGTTAATTGGTTCATGTAAATAAACGTGCAAATTGTTGAGTATTATTTTACGGTCAAAACTTAAATAAACAAGAAAGGAAAGCTAACTTCGGGCGGAGCCGAAGTTGATATACCCTTGCAGAATACTCTGTAAATTATATTCTCCAAAATTATTCATATGATGCATTCTTAATACTCATAAAAAATCCGAACTTCCTAACTTTAACAACAACAAAGTTATGGCATTTCCAATCGTTCAGTTATATGGCAGCTATAGGATATAGTCGGCCGATCCTTATGAAATTTGATAGGTCGGATTGATTGGCCAAAAATAAAATCCATAGAAAATCCCAACTTCCTAACTTTACAAACACCAAAGTTATGGCATTTCCGATCAATCAGTTATATGGCAGCTATAGGATATAGTCGGCCGATCCTTATGAAATTTGGTAGGTCGGATTGATTGGCCAAAAATAAAATCCATAGAAAATCCCAACTTCCTAACTTAACAAACACCAAAGTTATGGCATTTCCGATCAATCAGTTATATGGCAGCTATAGGATATAGTCGGCCGATCCTTATGAAATTTGGTGGGTCGGATTGATTGGCCAAATATAAAACCCATAGAAAATCCCAACTTTCTAACTTTACAAACACCAAAGTTATGGCATTTCCGATCAATCAGTTATATGGCAGCTATAGGATATAGTCGGCCGATCCTTATGAAATTTGGTAGGTCGGATTGATTGGCCAAATATAAAACCCATAGAAAATCCCAACTTTTTAACTTTACAAACACCAAAGTTATGGCATTTCCGATCAATCAGTTATATGGCAGCTATAGGATATAGTCGGCCGATCCTCATGAAATTTGGTAAGTCGGATTGATTGGCCAAATATAAAACCCATAGAAAATCGCAACTTCCTAACTTTACAAACACGAAAGTTATGGCATTTCCGATCAATCAGTTATATGGCAGCTATAGGATATAGTCGGCCGATCCCGGCCGTTCCGACTTATATACTGCGTGCAAAGGAAAGAAGGGTGTGTGCAAAGTTTCAATCCGATAGCTTTAAAACTGAGAGACTAGTTTGCGTAGAAACAGACAGACGGACAGACGGACAGACGGACAGACGGACAGACGGACATGGCTATATCAACTCAGGAGGTGATCCTGATCAAGAATATATATACTTTATAGGGTCGGAGATGTCTCCTTCACTGCGTTGCACACTTTTGACCAAAATTATAATACCCTCTGCAAGGGTATAAAAATCTGCACTTCTGGGACCACCAATCATATCATATATCAGAAGAAAAAAATAAAAATAACTGGGAAATGGGGATACCATTTTTAAATTAATCGTGCAGGTACCGTAATTTAAAAAAGGATCCTAATACAAATTACTTTAAATTCTTACAAAGATTACATTTTTAAGCACAATAGCCATATGTTTAATCGCTAGGTTCATTGATTCAATTGTAGATCCTCTAGTGAAATATGCGTAGCTGTCGAGAAGGCGTATTCCTGCTTGGTCCTTTGATCCAATTTTGTATCAATTCATGAGCAGATCTCTTAGGATTTTGCTTAAGTCTTGAAAGATCTTTAAACATTTCTTGCTCAAAATACACATTCTATGTGCTTTTACATCTTATTTGTAATGAAATAAATTAAACTTATTTAAAATGTTCTTTATGTTAAAATTAATCAATATCTTTCCAGCAATGGCATAGATAAAATGGGTGCCGATTTGGCAATTCAGGAAAACCATTATTGGTTTTCCACTAGTAAGCACTTTTTTTACAAGTTACATATTTTTTGAAAATATTATATCTATCATCTTAAAAGTGTCGATCTGGGGATTTTTACTTTTTAAACGCAAAACTTCTGTTTTACAAAAACGGGAGTAACTTTTTGCTTTTTTAAGTTTACACGAAAGATATTATCTGATATATTAAATATAATTTAAAAATTATTCCAAATATGTTATGGGCCATATTACATACCAGCTCTTAAAATGATTTTTTTACTTTAAATTTTCTTTCGATTCACACATTTGCCTCTACAATTTTGAATTTCAGTGCTCCCACAATTTTTTTGGAAAAGTGTGACCACCCGCGAAGTCTATTACAATCAGCTGGCGCCCGCTGCGTGAGGCAACACTGTCACTCGCACATGTTGTTTATTTTACAATACCATAGATATTTTATTTTGCGCCGCATAAAATTATAATTAATGCTGTCAGGATGAAGGTGAAAATGATTAGTCGCAATCCGGACAATTATGTGCGGGAAACCAAGCTCCAGCAACATAAAAGTAAGTTGAGAAAAAGAGCAATATTCGGCTTGGATGAATATTTATCCATTTTCAGTGCCCCGGAACTACGATCCCACGCTGCATCCTTTGGAGGGTCCTAGAGAATATGTGCGTGCCATGAATGCCACCAAATTAGACCGAGTGTTTGCCAAACCCTTCGTGTGCAATTTAAGCGGACATCGCGATGGAGTCTCTTGTTTTGGGAAGCATCCCAAGCAACTTTCTACTATGGCCACAGGCGCATATGACGGTGAAGTCCGAATTTGGGACCTGGCAAATCGCATAAGTTCCCGGAACTTTGTGGCCCACGATGGTTTCGTTAGGGGTATTGCCTACACACGGTATGGAGATCGCATCTTTACCGTAGGTGATGATAAAACCATCAAGGTTTGGAAGGCGGAAGCCCCGGAAATCGGCCAGGATGAGGTGCCGGTAAACACCATACTGAGTAAATTTGGGCTGCATGGCATCTCCCACAATCACAAGGATAACAAATTCGCCACCTGTGGCGAGGTGTGCGCCATTTGGGACGAGAAGCACAACGATCCCCTAAAGACTCTGAAGTGGGGCGTCGACACCCTGCACACTATATCCTACAATCCTGTGGAAACGAGCATTCTGGCCTGCTGTGCCAGCGATCGCAGCATCATCCTGTACGATCAGCGAGAGGCGCAGCCACTGAGAAAGGTCGTCCTTACCATGAAGAGCAACAAGTTGGCCTGGAATCCAATGGAGGCATTTAATTTCACAGTCGCCAACGAGGATTGCAAGTAAGTGAAGAGCCTTGGTATAGTTAACGTTGGTCTGTCATTTTTAGTAACTCAACCAATTGTCCTTTCCAGTCTTTACACATTTGACACCCGCAAGCTTCAAACACCACTGAAGGTGCACTTTGACCATGTTTCTGCCGTCACCGATGTGGACTACTCGCCCACGGGCAAGGAATTCGTCTCGGCCAGCTACGACAAGACCATCCGGATTTACAATGCCCACCACAGCCACTCTCGGGACATTTATCACACCAAACGCATGCAGCACGTGGTATGTGTGGCCTGGTCGCTGGATAATCGATACGTTTTCTCCGGCTCCGACGAGATGAACGTACGCATGTGGAAGGCAAATGCTTCCGAGAAACTGGGTGTCATTCGTCCGCGTGAGCGGGTCAACTTCAATTACCAGGAGGCTCTGAAGCAAAAGTATGCCGCTCATCCGCAGATCAAGCGTATTGCTCGCCATCGCCAAGTGCCGCGTCACGTGCTCAATGCACAGAAGAAGATGCGCACGGTCAAGGAAAAGGAGCAGGTCAAGGAGGCCAATGTGCGCAAGCACTCCAAGAAGGGCAAGGTGCCCTACGTCAGCGAAAAGAAAAAGCATGTGCTGAAGGAGGAGGTCTAGAGACGTTTGTTTACGACTATAGTTGGATAAGTTTGAATAAAATTGATTTTTGTAAGCCCAATATAATTAGAAGCATTCTCTTTGGAAGATAAATCCTTAGAAATGTAGCCTGTATAAAAAAGGAAAATCTTGAAACGGAAAACATTGCTTACACATACGTTGTTAGTTTATAACGAGAAAGGAAAGCTAACTTCGGGCGGAGCCGAAGTTGATATACCCTTGCAGAATATTTTATAAATTATATTGTCCAAAATTATTCATATGATGTATTCTTAATACTCATAAAATGTCCCAACTTCCTAACTTTAAAAACACCAAAGTTATGTCATTTCCAATCGTTCAGTTATATGGAAGCTATAAGATATAGTCGGCCGATCCTTATGAAATTTGGTAGGTCGGATTGATTAGCCAAAAATAAAACCCATAGAAAATCCCAACTTCCTAACTTTAAAAACACCAAAGTTATGGCTTTTCCGATCGTTCAGTTATATGGCAGCTATATGATATAGTGGCCCGATCCGGCTCGTTCCGACTTATATACTACCTGCAATAGAAATACAACTTTTGGAAAAGTTTCAAGCAGATAGCTTTAAAACTGAGGGACTAGTTTGCGTAGAAACGGACGGACAGACGGACATGGCTAGATCGACTCTCCTGGTGATGCTGATCAAGAATATATATACTTTATAGGTTCGGAAATGTCTCCTTCACTGCGTTGCAAACTTTTGACTAAAATTATAATACCCTCTGCAAGGGTATAAAAATGTGTGTTTAAAACACTTTTTGGCTTCAAAATTTCTGTAAATACTTTGTTAAACAGGAATTCAGTAATTTTATACTATGTTTTTGTAATGTATGCACTTTCTTAAGTTTTAATCCTATAACTAACTATGAGAAGAGATACTTTCTGGAGGGAAACCTGACTTGTGTGCTATACTGCAACTTTTCGTGTATGTTCGAAATACGATTTGGATCCGATAAGAACCCGCGAGGCGATACCGATAGCGACAGTGGGGGAGCTGTGTCCATTTCTAGGGTGTTTTCGCTTATAAAAGGTGGCCAGCCCCATCGTTGGGGCTCAGTATTTGTTCGTTTGTTGTTACGGCAACCGCCAGTCGGTCGTTAGTTTTTGTTTTCGTTCATTTGTTTATACTCTCGCGGCACTTCGCCCCCCTCCCTAACTGACATAACTCGTTTGATCGGGCACACAAGACCTATTAAAATCATGGAGGCACTGGGGGATCTATTGGCGCCTTATAGCGAACTTATCGCCAAGGTAGCCGGCACCATTACTACCCTGCAATTTCTGTCCGGTGTGGTGCTGATGAACGACATCCGGAAGAAGGGCAGCAGCGATGTCTACCCGGTGGGTCCGTTTCTTGGCGGAGTGGTGCTGTAAGTTCTCAATTCACTTAGAAAGTGTCGCAGTAAGTGGTTCCGTAATGCTCCACTGCATGCGACATCAAACAAAATAGAGAAAAACAAAAGCCAACGCATAAGTGTGGGAATTGATTAAATTTTCGAACTGTCGTCATGACACTACAGAATCGGCTCTTTTCAAGGCCGCTTCTACATAAATCGGTTTTGCACTCGATTCAATAAGATAACAATGGAATGGAATGGGTTACATCACTCGATGGTGAAACCGAAATCCACTTCGGTCAAATCCACTTTGACCGTTACAATTTGAAATTGTTTAGATTTTGTGAACCTTGTCGTCACGGGAATCTTTGACTTCTTATCGATGCGAGGCCTCGACAAACACGTAGCTGTTATCTGGAGTGTATAGTTTTAGAGCCTCGTATTACGAATGCTGATCCGGTATAGTCTGTCTAATCTGGGAGAGCCCCTAATCGTTTATGAGACAAGCGAAGATAGACGCCTTGCCTTTTCCACGTGCCCAGAATAAAGTGGGTGTCAGATTCTAGGGGGTGGTTTTCAGTGATGGGAAATATCTAGACAGTTGTACCTAAGTGCTACAATCTTCTATAATTAAAAGTTTGCTATATATGCATATATGTAATTGTCTTAAGATAGTAGAAGTCACATATTAAGACTCACAAACAACATTTCAATATGACATTTAAAAGCAAAAGGGGCACTCATTCAGTAATGTATAGGTACAACAAATTCTTATCAATATGGTTAATATTAATTTTCTACTCACCTCTGATAATATGAACAATGATAATTTTCGATTACTCATGAATAATATTTCTTATTTTAAACCTTCTAATTCAAAGCCATGTACCTTGGCTATGTTTTATGTCCTACCTCTGCCATCACTGTTGGCCTTTTGGGGGGTGGTTTCCGGGAGGTGTTAACTTGGACTGTGTCAAGTGTAAGGACCCCCAGACATGCAAGCGAAGCAACAGTTGTATGCTAAATGAATTCCATTCCAAACAAGGTGTAGGTCAAGGGCAATATCGCGGGCAGTTTGTTTTCCATTTCACAGACACGAATGTATTTCACCATAGCAATGTGTTTATGATAAGTTAATCGACGGTAACGCTGATTATTTATATTCCTTATCAATGGCTACGTGTATCATAATTTGCAAATCACTATTCTAGTTGGTATCCCCCAAAAACCCGTTTCAGTCAAATATGTAGCCCTATCTAAAGCATTTGAACTGATAACATATGTAATAATTAAATATAAACATGTTTTTGGAATGACCCTGTAGAGCAAAATGGCTTTCTCTTCTTTCTTTTTCTCTAAAATTTCTATTGAAATGAAATCAAATTTGTAAGATCTAATACATAATTGCACTGCTCAGAATATCACTTATTCTTTGGAATGCGTTATTTGTTATTCTAAGTTTTCAAATGCTTTCATTTATTAGTGTAGATTTTTATAGCCTTGCAGAGTGTATTATAATTTTGGACAAAAGTGTGCAACGCAGTGAAGGAGACATCTCCGACCCTAAGTATATATATTCTTGATCAGGATCGCGTCTTGAGTTGATATAAGCATGTCCGTCTGTCTGTTTCTACGCGAACTAGTCTCTCAGTTTTAATGATATCGAAATGAAACTATGCACACACCCTTCGTTCCTTTGCACGCAGTATATAAGTCCTATAGCCGTCATATATGTAAGTTATTGATCGGAAATGCATCATATGAATAATTTTGGAGAATAAAATTTACAGATTATTTTGCAAGGGTATATCAAACAAATTCGGCTCCGCTCGAAGTTAGCTTTCCTTTCTTGTTTTGTTTATTTTTTAAAAGGCAGAATTTGATGTGGTAAATAAAAAGTAAGATAGGTGTATTGCATGGTAAAAAAATAAACAAATTGGCGTTTTCTTCTATTAAAGACCCCTATTACCTTCTAATTCAAATCAGAAGAGCCATTCGAAATTTTCACCCCTTACATGTCCCCTGTACAAATATTTATAAACTTTTCTAAAACTGTTCTATTTCTTTTACCATTCCAGAACCGTTCTCAGCTTAAAGCTGGCAAATGTCATGAACGATGCTGCCATGATCAACACCAATTTAATTGGTCTGGTCATCAACTTCGCCTTCCTGTTCGGTTTTTACTACTATGCCTCCAGCGAAAGCAGGGGCAAGATCTGGAAGCAGGCCGGCTACGCCTCAGTGTTCCTATTGGTCATCACTGCATATGCCAACTTCGAGGATCCCGCTAAGATCGAGTTCCGTCTGGGAATGCTGATCACCGCCATCCTCGTTTGGCTGGTGGGATCGCCGCTCCTGCATCTCCCGAAAATCATTGAGAAGAAGAGCACCGAGGGTATGCCGTTCCCCATTATCCTGGCGGGAAACATGGTGGCTGCTTCCTGGATGTTGTACGCCATCTCCATCAAGAATACTGTGATGGTGGTAAGTTGAAAATTATTTTTTGTTTGATTTTAAAGCTAAAAAAATATATATAAAAGACATTACCCTACATAATGTTTCTTTCTGGTGATAATAGTATTGGAACAGTAACAAGTATTAATTTCTAACTTTGATCAATAATTAAAAAATTTATAAAACTCGAATAATTAACGAACATTTTTGAAGTAATATTTACAATACCTTCCCCTAAAACATAATCTCTAACTGATAAATATAATGTTTCAGCTCCAGAATCTACTTTTGCTGATCCTGGGAGGAATTCAGCTCTCCATGTTCGCTATTTATCCCAACAAACCGGCTGCGAAAGAGACTAAGGACAGCAAGAAGAACAAATAATTGAAATCGATTGCTTTACCTGGAAAAATGGACAAATAATGGGTTGTTGCAACAACATTACCAAGTAATACGTAGTTAGAATCGAGGAATAATCAAATTATTGCTTGAATTTACACTAAACCGCCACAACTAAACTAAATTTGAGCTAGACAAATTATTTTTCTATATAAGAAATATTTTCTTAGAACAAATCCAGTTGCTAGCTAACCTTATTGTTATTAATTGTTATTATATTGACTATTACTGTATATAGCTACTACATACTTGCAATTTTTGACAATAATTCAAATCTTCCAAATGCATAACTATTTATAAAGTCAACATAAATATGTAATAATAAAAATGGTTACAAAATCGACTGCATTATGTATGTCATTGGGTATTATTTCAGGCTACTGGGATTGTAGAGTTGTAGTGGGCGCCCAGTTGGTAAATGTGGCGGTGGTAGCAGATGACCAGAGGTGATCCACCGAATTCCTCTTGTCCCAGGAGTGTGGGTGGTCCCTCCGCTTGGATAACTTCAATAGGCACTCTGAGTAGCGAAGATATAGCCTTCAGTTCGATGTGCCCGCCCCAGGCGTGAGTTTTGGCTATATCCTGGCAGTATTTTTCGAATTGCTTGTCGTTTAGGAGGTCACCCGTTTCCGGATGGACCATGTAGGAGATCAGCGACTCCTTGTGGGCACGGACATAGTTGGCAGTCTCCTCTCGTAGTTGCTGAACACTATGACCTGAATGGTGATGCTTAGGATTAGTTTTGGTGGCCTATGGATTGATAAACAACTCTTACCTGGAAGAGCATTTACAATTAGTTGGTGTCTGATGGATTGATACAGACAATCGCCATCAGATGCTATGTTATGGAGGGACAATTGTCGTTCGGACAACTTTGAAGTAATCTGCTGGAGTTCGATTAACTTCGGTGTTGGCTGATTGGCGGCATTCTGGAGCTCCGTTTTGATCTCCGCTTCGCGTTCACGGGCCTCCTTGGCTTTTTTATCCCGACGTTTTTGGGCCTTGGACACGCGTTGATTGGAGGGCAGCTGCTCCTCCTCCTCCTTTTCCTCGGTCTCCTCCTCATTTGGCACTGTGTTTTCCGGCTTCTCTTCCGGGGGTCTGACTTCTGGTTCCGCTGGCGGATCCTTGGCTTCCGCCGACTGCAGTTCCGCCTTGTGACGCTGCTCCAGTTCTCCTTCCAAACGAGTCATCTCCTCCAAAAATTCCTTCCTCTTGTTTTTATTGTTTTTGGGGGCATTCTTCTTCATGGCCTGCAATTTGGCCTGCAGTTCCTTGCGTTCACGGCGATGACGGGCACCTATGTCCTCTAGACTCACATCCTCCAAGCGGGTTTCCAGCTCCCCAACCGCCTCGTCTTCGCCTGCCATTTTAATTTATTTTATTAAGCTGACAAAAAACGAAGTTTTATTTTCGGCAGATATTGGATGAGCCAGAAGTGACCAGCTACCGACCGTTACAATATACCAAAGGCAGTGTGACCACATAGCATCCGTTATAGTATACCATCCTGTTGGAGAATATATACCAATAAATTATTTAAAACTCTACAAAACAAAATTTCGTTTAAAAATCCAATTTAATTACTTAAACGAAAAGTTCTGCTCAAAAATACATTTTATAAATAATAAAAATTAATGTGGTATATAAAATAACCCGTTTTAAATGGTTTTCAGAAATTTATTAAGTAAGGGGCTTAGTTTCTAAATTACAATTTTAATTTGTGCATAGAAAAGTATTCAAAAACGTATATGTATTTTTCTAAATAAATATGGTTTGCAAATGTCATTCTCATTGCCCAGAAAAAACTATGCAGCTGGCTCGAAAAGTAAACTTTTCATTTTTTGATATTTTATATTTCTTGTACATAACCATATCGAATAATTTGTAAACGCTAATTGTAATAATTGACACCCATTGATTTTAATAATGGGTGTTTTCTTAGAGGTATAGAACTTTAAGTTGGCATTACTGTTCAAGATGGAAACCCATTTAATAGCTGTCAAAGGATTTATTCTCAGTTAGGTTTGGCAATTCATCATGAATAGACTCACGCCTGAACAACGCTTGCAAATAGTGCAATTTTATTTCGAAAATAATGGTTCTGTGCGGAATACGTATCGCGCACTACGTCCATTTTATAGTCGACAAAATCGTCCATCAGAGCAGTTAATTCGATTAACCATGGAACGTTTTCGCACCAAGTTAACTCTTATTGATAACTTGCAGAGCGTAGCATTGAGGAAGACCCAAATGAGTCCATCCGCCATCGAGCACAGGAATTGAATCTGTGTCCATCCACTTTATGGAAGATTTTGCGGAAGGATCTTGGTTTACATGCTTACAAAATCCAACTCGTGCAAGAATTGAAGCTAACCGATCATCAAGCAAGGCGTAGATTCGTCGAATGGGCCCAAAACAAGATTGCCATTGTTCCCGATTTTCATAAGCGAATTTTGTTTAGCGATGAAGCGCACTTCTGGTTTAATGGCTACGTCAACAAACAAAACTGCCGCATTTTGAGTGAAGATAACCCTCAAGTGTATCTCAAAACACCGTTACATCCTGAAAAACTGACTGTTTGGTGCGCTTTATGGGCTGGTGGAATCATTGGTCCATACTTCTACCAAAATGATGATGGCCATAACGGTACAGTCAATGGTGATCGGTATAGAGCCATGATTACTAACTTTTTCATTCCTGAATTGAAAAGCCATGATTTCCAGGAGCTGTACACAGCTTGTGCCACAATCGATTTATTGAAAGACACGTTTGGTGACCGCCTAATTTCACGTTTTGGACCTGTGAATTGGCCTCCAAGATCTTGTGATTTAACACCGCTAGACTACTTTCTGTGGGGCTATGTAAAGTCATTGGTCTATTCGGATAAGCCACAAACGCTTGACCATTTGGAAGACAACATTAGCCGTGTTATTGCCGATATACGGCCACAAATGTTGGAAAAAGTCATCGAAAATTGGACGTCCAGATTGGACTACATCCGAGCCAGCCGTGGCTGTCATATGCCAGAAATCATATTTAAAATGTAATGCCACAAGATTTTCTTTTGAATAAAAAAAATTCATGTCAATCGAATAATCCATCGTTGTTTTATTGAAATTTAAAGTTTTATACCTCTAAAAAAAACACTCTTTACAAAAAAATATATTAATTAATATTATTATGACTCCCAAAATTTGTAAAAAAAATAAATTAATAATATTTTGCAACAGGCTGAATTTTTTATTTATGCTAAACATAAAACGATCTAGAGTGAGAAACTAAATACATGCATGCCAGTGGCGAGGAATCGGCTCAACCATTTCCTACTTTGGATATTCCTAAATCTTAACTATGGTCCACAAAAGAAAATCATTTTTTTTTAATATATATACAGGCAATTGTTAAGAGTTAAATCAGCAATTACAAAAATGAGTGAGACCAAAATGGATTTGCAAAATTTGATGTCAATTCGAACCTTATCGTTTTATACAATTCACAAGAGTGTTGATTTTAAAAACTGGCAAGCAAAACCAGATGATACGTTTCTTACAGCTCTATAACACATTCTTAAGTGCAAATCAGAAATCGAAGGTAGTATTTACATTGGCCAACGGCGACGACTCCTAATTTACCTCATTTACACACTTATAAAACAACAAGAGACTAAAGCATGCCTTGCCACATCAGAGGCTGCCTAACCGCTAAAGTCCAAAGTGATAATTACTTAGCCACTAACCGAAATCTACGCAAGTTTCTCGTCTCGTCTATAGATATATCTAGTGTGATTTTGCCTATGTCCAGTCGAACGTACAAGTACAAAAGGAAGCACTAGCTAGCTAGGAATTACCAAAGAGCAGGCTCTGTCTCTCACGGCCCGAATATCCATTTTAGAGGCTCTTGGTAATGTTCTGGAAGAGGCGACGGCCCCACCACGACTCCAGGTCGAAGGGCTTGAAGTCCTGCAGCGCCGGGCTCGGCGGCTCCACCCAAACGGTCGCTGTCGAGGATGCGGGCACAGGTGTGTTCGCCATGATGCTCTCCACCGGGCTGGCGGCGCTGTTGTTGTTGGCATCCGCCACCGGTTTCTCGGCGGGCTTGGCGGATGAGCTCGAGTCGTAGGGATTTTGCGCTACCAGCATGTTCCAGGCTGTCAAGAAGGATATTTTTTTTATTTATTAACGGAAAAGTCTTTAAAGCAGATATCTAACTTGAGCACATTTGTGTTGTATATTTAGCGACTCGGCCTCAAAAAATTTATTTTTCAAAGCTAAATATGAAACTGGTTTAATTTTTTTAAGTTAAAATAAACAAGAAATAACAATAAAATTGTCCTAAAAATGGATCAAATAAATTAGGTAAGTTAATTCGAATCATGTTTCGTTCTTTTGTTGACGATTAAGTAAATTAATTCGAAATTAGTATTCAGTTGCGTTAATCATATTAGTATATATAAAGTAAAGTAAAATATATATTAAGTCAAGTACATTATTTTAAAATCAGTAAAATAAACTTAATATATTTGCTTTTGGAGTTTCGACTTCGAGAATTTAAATCATAATACTCACAGTCATTTATGTAACGTATAATTTCCTCATGCTGCGGCGTTATCACCTCATCCTCGATCAGTTTGGTCGGCGTTATCCGCTTGGAGGAGAAGCTCTGTTGAAACACCGGACGCGGTATACTGTTTTCAAAACGAAATAAAGGGTTATTCGATTGTAATAACAATGCCTCTGAATTTCAACAACAGCCCACTTATGCAAATCACACAACTCTCCTCAAACATGTGGACTTTAAAAATAAATCACTTAAGGAAAATGAGGCAGAGGTGGGGGAATCTGGGTTCGACAACATGATACTCAGTTCTAGAATTCGTAGAAAGCGCGAATGCACTGCTTTTAGTTCACGATTGCGATAACATATAATATTTGATTTAAAAGACAGCTGCAGCCCTTTGAATAAATAAATGTATTTAATAAATAAGCGAAAAATTTATTAAAATAATTTGTCTTTATAATAATGGGCTATCATAAATTATGTTCCTAATTTATATAATATTAATTATTCCATTAACTATTTTATTTCTAAAAATGTTTTTAAATGCATTAATAAAACAGACTGCAGTAGACTTTTCTATATAAATAAAGAATTTTCTTGTTAATATGGGGTTAAAAAATTGCTACTGATAAGCTATCTACAGTGAGAGATAGCTAGCAAGACCTTTATAATATTTCAAGAATTTGTAGTTTATTAATTTTGATAAGAGATCTTCGAAAGTGTTAGCTGCTTATAAAGTCCCAATCATTGAGCATTCAATTTAAAACAAAAAATTTTTAAGATGAGCTAATCTAAAATGCAATACTAAAGGTGGAATACATGAAAAAATCATGGTCTTAAAAAAAAAAATAAACTTATTAACTGGCAAAAGTGGAAAGCGTTATTGCTATGTTTAAAGTTGTGATGTAACGGTCAGATATAACATATTATAAAGCCTTATCTATGGTCAAAATAATTTAAAACTATTAACGAGCAAAAAAATCTATATTCTTCATAGAGAATCTTCGGTAAAAAGTGTTCACTTTTTAGCTGTTTATGTGTATAAGCACAATTCTATCGACCCAACAAATAATTACAAGACTTTCCGATTTTTTTAGCGTAGACTTTGGCTAAGTATACCCGAGAAGTTCCGTTGAAGTCGTGACGTAACGGTCGTGGAAAAGTCAATGCCTCCGGGGCATTTAAATTAAAGTGGAGCCGATAACCGACGCCTGACCCACGTGTTTCCCTTGGGTCTCCTAGGGAGAGTATACATATATGCGCCTGGGAGCAATAGCAATTAGCATTACGGTGCTAGGTCGCCACGGATTCTTGCGATAAAATGTCAGAGATAAGACGAGGGTCTCGAGTCCCCCTCTCCGCCACTTTTCCCTCGCTTTCCACATTTTCACCATGTGCTGGCTGTTTGCATAAGCACCCAAGATTCTTACTTTTTGTGCTCCTCGGGACTGTTCAGATCGAAACTGGCATTCTTCCGGCCGCTCTCCTTGATGCTTTCGAATTTTTCAAAATTTTGTGCCAGGCCTGGGATGAAAAAAAATTATGATGAAAATATAATAAAATTATTTACAGTGGAAAACGCCGGCAAAACAAAAAGTTAACAGAGCAAGAGAGAGCAAGAGAGAACCGGAGAGTGGGGGCGGCAGAAAAAGAGAAAAATTGTGACATAACAGCTGGGCAAAAAGCTCTCTTAAAGGGTCTATTGTACCATTATTAACCATTATTGTTATTATTATATGCACTCACCGCGACGCGTTTTAGCAACGATTTTGCTGGGTCCCTTGTTGATTGTGTACATGATGGAAAGTGGAGAAAATACCAGGGCAATATTGTCCTTTCGATTTTCGTAATGTTTTCTTTTCTGGCAACGAAATGAATGTTTGCTATGTTTTTAGGTTTTTTCCGCTTTGTGCAATCATATGATCAGTGGCACCCTTCCCCGCGTCGCCTCCTTTTGGTCTGTCATCGTCTTGAAAAGTTACACAATACACTCTAGTTAAAGCGACGATGATTCCGCGCTCTTCGATTTCACCGCTGTCGTATCAATTGATTTAATTTCAATTTAATTCACCGACACCGCACTTGATTGCTCCTGGAAAATGCGTGTGTTTTATAACGATAACGTTCTGTGCGGCGGACGAAGCTCCAATGCAATGCTCCATTCAAATCGCATAACGAAATGTTAAGAGAAACACCCGCTAAGCGCCATATGTTAACTTGTTCATGCGAGAAAGTACGCGATGTTTGATTAGTTACAAAATCTGATTGCTGAAAATCATATATAGCGTTTTCATTTGCGAAGTAGAAGTATGTATTTAATTTTTTTTATCAATACTCAATGTATTTTTATAAGAACAATCATTCAAATTGTAAAATTTCAGATATTTAACTATCTTAGACATGAAATCGCTTTCCGCATAAACTATTCAACCGATTACACGTGTAGGCTTACCATATGTTACTGCCAGTGTGTACACACTCCTCAGGGACATAAATTACATTTACCTGCGCGCGATTTTTAAAGGGCTTAAAATGTGATTAGAGACTAAGTACGTTTAAAAGTAAAATCTTAAATTGAATTCCGTCCATATTAAATTAATTATTATAAGAATTACAATTTTGAAAGTGTTCTTATTTGTTATGTCATTAATAATGTACAAATATATGAAGAACTTTTTTATTTAAATTCGAGTTCTTAAGACTTCGAGTTATAGAATATATTTTACAATATAAATTAAAAGTTTCTTATGTCCTGTCGTCGTAAACGTTTTCAAAAGTTTACTATATCAAACGTGTAAGTTAAAAATTGTAAAATAAATTCAAAGAATTCAGAATATTGCCTACAATCTTTGGAAATATTCTTTGAATTGGGAAATTTTTCAAATCTAAGTCCATGCTACTGCTTATATGTAAAGACGGACTTTATGGCGGCAGTCTGACACTGATTACCCAAAAAGTAGTAGTTTTTGCTACCTGTGCGTAATACCGAACGCATTAAAAAGGGATTAGCAAGAATTTTAAGTGGAAAATTTAATTGCGAGCAGGTAGAGCCATAAAATGACAGATGCGGGAAACGGATAAGCAATATTTTCCGCAAAAATATTTATGACCTTTGAGAAATTGCACACACATTGACTGGATATAAAGAGGGTCGAGGGGCAAAGGAAGTCAGTAGCAATCCAGCAACGTCGAGCTTCACATTAACTTTAACTTCCCGATCACCCAAGAAATCGTCATGTCGACCGCCGAAACCAACCAACTGCTCCAGCGCCTGAACAGCCTGAAAATTGTGGAAACCCCTAAGGAGCAAAGGGAATTGGGCAACCGGGAGTGTTATTCCCTGGACAGCAAGAAGTATGGACTGGTGCCCGCCACCCCCAGCAGCGGTGGACCCGGAAAGTTTCAAACCGAGCTCAAGAAACGTCGCAAAAACAAACTTAATCGCATGTACACTTACGAGACGGACAAACACTTCATCAAGGCTCGCAAATCTTTGAACTTCTAGTCATGCCCCGATGTAATCACCTTAGTCATAAGCAGCTTTGATTTCAAATCGAACAAGTCAAATATATTTTTCATCACTCTCTTATAATAAAGTATAAATATAAAATTCAAATATCCAACGTTGCGTGCCTTTTCCTAACTATCGATAATGTGGGCAACCAACTTGCTTGTGGTCACAATGGTGCTGGTCTATCTGGCAGCTCTGGCGAACAGCTGTGCGTGCGGCGAAGCGGCGAATTTAGAGTGCGGATGCACAAAACATCATTAAAAACCAAATAAACTAGAAATATTACACGAATTAGTGCAAATATATATAAAAAAAACCAACTAATTAAGATGACGGACATTACGGCAGCCAGCGAGGGAAATTCCAACAGCAGTGAACCTTTAGTAGAACATCAGCAGCCGACGCCAGAATTTCTACAGCGAAAAATATATTTTCTTGTCGACCAACTACGCTCTTATCACTCAGAACTTCCAGAGTAAGTCCATAATTTAAATTGTATTTAAGATTTTAAAATCATTATTTATTGCAGAAACCTACAGACACGTATTTCTTATGACTTACTCACCGAACTCGCTAACTGTGTGCTGAATGAGGGGATATTTGTGATAGTTAAAGCCTTAATGGAATTGCAACACGAAACCGAAAGACATTTGATTAAAATGCGAATGCAGGTGGAAAACGAGTATGAAATTGAGGTGACCGAGTGGAGAAGCAAAATCAAGGATCCCGAGGAGCTTCACCACATTTTGGGACTGATGAAAATCAAGCACACGAAGAAACTACTAGAATCGGACAAGAAGATTATTGAAATACTAGATCAAAAGGTGCCGTTTTGACTTTTATAGTTTCAAAGGCTCTATTTTCTCTTATTCTAATGCAATCTTCATAAAATTGAATTAAACTGAATTCCAGTTAAAAGTCAAAAATTATTAGTCCACCTCTTTACGGACTCATACTTTTGCTTATCTACCGCCATGCAATATTTTTATTCGAATTTTAACCTTAAAGTAATGTTAAATTTATTTTTTAAATTATTTGAAATAAGTGTTATTCTTAACTCAAATGAAGTACTTGCTAGATGATCTAATCTATTAAATACTAATCTTTCAACTTATTTCTTCCATGTACCCAGGTTAACGACCAACAATCCACACTCCAAAAGGCCGGCGTTCCCGGTTTTTATGTGACCGAGAATCCCAAAGAGATAAAAATACAAATGTTCCTGCTGGACTTCATTTTGCGTCTGAGTCGATTGAAATACGAGCCCAACAAATAACCACTAATTATAAATCCGGAGCCCACAAAAGACTGCACTTGACTTGTTTAAATTAGAATATTTAAGGCAATTAAATTATTAACCCTGATCAAATGTCCCAGCTGTGCGAACTTCCATTGTGGGTCCACACCAAAAGAAACCTGTAGCGCTGCGCAGTTTTAATCAGCGAAGAATTGTGAGAGGGAGAAAGAAACGGGGCCGCCAGAAGAGCGGGAGAATTGATAAAGATAGCGCGGCTCTCCATTTTTCCCGTAGAAAGCGGAGAGGCGGCCCTATAAATTGGAGCGGCGAGTCTGCAGATGCATCAGTTTTGCTTTCGAATTCAGAAGCAGCACATTAAAAAAAAAAAAGTAGTGAAAACCATGTCTCTGACTATTACCCCAACTGTCTCGCATCCTGAGCTCAAGGATCTGGTGAGTAACTCATCATAGAACTTGTGACATCTTTAATGTCCTTTTTTAATACGTGCCTGTTACACAAAATTTTTAAAACTAATGTCCTATATAAAGTGATTAATTTTTTTAACCCATTTCCTATTGTATCATTGCAATCAAGTTTTTATTAATTACTTTTGATTAAATGGTGAACATATTTTAAACTAATTCTAATATACCCTGCGATTAGTAAACGTTTTTGAAACCTGTAATTGTGATTGATTTATTCACGTTCTTTTTAATGGATCTTAGTTATTGTACTATTTCTTAGTTGTACTATTACGAATTCAAGCCGCTTAAAGTTTTTTGAACCCTTACAAGGTCGGGTAGCCAATTTTTGGATGTTTCATGTGCTTAGTCATTAAAAGCCAGTTTCCGTCATCTAATGTTCAGAATAATTAAAGTTTATGCTCTCACCTTTTTGTTGGCTATAGGAATTTGATTTGTTTTGGCCACGTTTAGTTGCTTCCCAACAGTTGAGCCGTTTGCACGCAATGTTTTCGCGATTGTTTCGTAATTTCAAGGCAAGTTTTATCAGCGTAAATGAAGGTGTTTAAATAAGTTGAACTGTGTTAAATATCGCCTTTTAATTGCTTCTAATAATTTAAAATATAACCCCCATCAAACAACGACTTTTACTTTCTTTTAAGCAGTTTTTCCATTGACCTTGATTTTAAAATTGATTTTGCAATTGTTTGTGCGAGAGTGAGAGTCTGTTAAATCAGCTGTTCAACAGCTGCAATTGCAAGGCGAAGAGAACAAAACCAGAGAGAGTGTTGTAAAGAGTGCATTATTTTGCTGACGACATCAGACGCCGAACGTAGCCCATAAAATTTGTATTTTAAACCAAAAAAAACGCTTATTATTAAAGTTTTTTCGCAATAAAATGCGCTGCTTGCCGGGCTATGGTTACGGATTGACCTTTTTGTTTCCTGGTGCGCCCTAAAAACGAACAATGTATCTAAAGATATAAAAATCCGGTGAAACTGTTGCTCATACCCCTACTCTTCTTCTTCTTCCAGAGCACCGTTCGCAATGAACAGAAGGAACTGAGTATTTCGCCGGTTCACTATGTGGATATTCCAAAAGCCACGGCCACTTTTGGCATGGGTTGTTTTTGGGGCGCGGAATCTCTATATGGAGCTACCCGTGGGGTCTTGAGAACCACCGTGGGATATGCCGGCGGCAGCTCGGATTTGCCAACGTACCGTAAAATGTAAGATAGCGGATCGAGAGCATTGATCATCCTAACATGTACATTTCTTTTCCCTTCGACATCCCCATATGTTCCCCATCCCATAAACCTTTCGGATCCGGTACTAACCACGAATCTCAACAGGGGCGATCACACGGAGGTGCTGGAAATCGACTATGATCCCACCATCATTAGCTTCAAGGAGCTGCTGGATTTGTTCTGGAACAACCATGAATATGGACTGACCACGCCCATTAAGCGACAGTATGCCTCCTTGATTTTGTTCCACGATGAGGAGCAGAGGCAGATCGCACAGGCCTCCAAGTTGGAGGAACAAGAGCGTCGTGCTCCAGAGGTCATAACCACGGAGATTGCGTCTAAGGAGAACTTTTACCCAGCCGAGGCGTAGGTTTAATTAGCATAAATCTTGATCCCTGGATGTTACAATCTTCTCTTTCCCTATAGGTACCACCAAAAGTACAGATTGCAGGGTCACAAGGACCTCGCATCCTCGCTGAACCTCAGCCCCAAACTGTTGCAGACCAGCTATGTGGCCACCAAACTCAATGGCTATCTGGCCGGAGTCGGAGGCATCGAACAGTTCAAGGCGGAGGCCGAGACCATGGGTCTTACGCCCACCCAGCGCCAGTACTGCAACTACCACGTGGAGCAAAACGAGGGTCAGGGTCTTTACTGCTGACATGGCCGAATGTGCATAGATGTTAAGCGTAGATCGTACACCTAGGGGGGTAACTTTATAAATAGTTTGCTTGTTTAAAACAGATTGTGTATTATGTAGACTTAGGAAAGTAACTAAAATATATAAAAAGCGTATATATATTATTATAATAATAAAATGTATCTCAAACTAAATTTATGGACTTGTTCTTGGGCTGAGTAAAGGCTGTAGTTTTGACTAATCCAAAACATACTGCGTTATTATTGTTTATCATTTTGCAAAGTGAACTTTGCTGCATTTGAGCCATAGCCCCTTATTTTTGAATCCTTAAATTAAAGCAATGAATTCTTGGACCTATATTAAATTCGTTGCCTGCATCTGACTAATACGAAATCTTTCGCAAATACGGTTGCGGGTCTTCGTTAAGTATTACGTATACGAAAATTATTTTACTTGATCCTCGTCATGTGCCGAAATAACAAAAACAAGAGCCTAGATATCTGACTTAATAATCTGGGGTGATAAACAGCTTGCAAGTCATAATAAGTTCCTGTACAGGATCCTGCTTTATCTGCAGTAAACACTCTGATAACATATTCGCTTCGTCATCTGTTTATTCAACTTTAATGAGTTTGCATTGCTGTCAAGACAAGACCTGATCGGAAAACTGGTGGAATTTAGCTTGGTTTTGGTTATAGATAATCTAAGACTTTTATATTATTAATATATGGGTCTGCTTATATAAAAGTACGTATTTAAGAAAACAATCGCAGAATTATTTCAAGCTAAAATATTTTTTACAGGAATCTTAATTTAGGAATGGCGAAGACACCATCTTCTAAAAATGGCAAAGCAATAAATATCTTTTATCCAAGGACGCTAAAGTGACTGACCCCAAGACTTTCGCAATAGTTTCGCTGTATGTACATAAGTATCAAACATATAGCCACACAAAGAAAGTTAAAATGATTGTAATTTGAGAGGTGCTTCATTGAATTTGTTCACGTCTATAGATTGTGAAAACTATCAGTAGCTTAGTTCTTAATCAATAATTTGAGAGCCCATAAATTTCCGACGGGAGTGACTAGCATTAATTGATCGAAAATAGAAAGAAATGCACTTACTCATTAGCAAAGATCTGATAAGGGGAAATACTTCAAGTGGTTTGTATATTTAGCTAGTTCCATTAGATCAGCAATGAAAACAATTTAAGGACTTATTAAAAATTCATATTTTTAGATAATTTGCATTTGATTAAGGAAATAAAGAATACCAGTGAATCAAGTAAGAGTCTTTTTATAGTGAGAAAACTGATTTGATAAGTAAATTAAAAGTAAAAATATCATAACCATTAAATGTGTATTAAAGTATTTTTGTCAGGTCAAAAAAAAGTTTTTTAAAGGAGTAACTGAACAAGAATTTTGATTATTTGATTATGTTAAAATGTTAAGCCCATGGCGGAACTTCTCTATATCTTTTCGCTGACTGCATTTAAAAAATATATTAACAAAATAGATAAGCTATGATTTATAATATACAGTTAAAACCCCAATATTTCTATAGCCGGTAACCATTAAATGGGTATTAAAGTATTTTTGTCAGGTCAAAAATAAGTTGTTTAAAGGAGTAACTGAACAAAATATAATAATAATAATATTTAATAGAGACCGAGGCTTTATAGTTTTCCCCGTACCTGGGAATATTTTGTATAAATATTAGTCGTACTTCCTTTATGGTTAACCATCTTTCCCCATCTTTATATAAATGTAGATCCATTTATACTATGTATCCAGGCCTTCAACCCAAATTTCGTCAGATTTGACCGCTCTTTGTTGTTTTTTGATTAGAGGAGAGCACATGTTGTCCCCACTCTCTCTTTCCCCCTCTTCCCCCACTCAGCCCTCTCATTTCAGAAAGCTATAACAATACACGCTCTCACTCTCTAGAGAGCGATCTCTATCCCCATGGCTCCCCTTCGCCCCGTCTTTTTCACTCCAACGCAAGCCGGTTCAACGCGTGTTTGGCGATAAGTCAAAGCAAACGGGCGAAAATAGCAAGGCATTTTTTGTTTACAGTGAATGAAAGATTTAAAATGTTTTTTGCTAAATCTTTTCTATATGAAAGAGTGCATGGAATGGGCTTAAATCATGTCAGCTGGTAGGCCTCTGGCTGAAGTATCTGATTTTTCAAAAATCATTAAAATCGAAGGATCCCATGAGGAGTGACAATCAAGTGCGATTTAAGGGGTTCCTAATCGGACTATTAAATAGATTTTTTGACAGTATGTAGATAAGGCCCATCCCCATCAACTGACCAAATCTTAAATAAAAATACTGGATACTTTAGCTATAGCGAATTTTACAAGATTTTCCGTAATACGTTCGCCTTGCGAAGAAGAAGAGCCGCCTTCGTCAGACACGCTAGACATAATAACAACAACTACAACAAGTACAAATCATCCAAACATGTCGACGGCGACGATCTAGCTTTCTTTGTATTGGTCGCACAAGTTGATAATAAATAGTTTATTGGATGGGAAAAGAGGAAGGCAATGGGAGGCGTACTAATCGTATCAATGAGTCGAAAAAAAAGATGTTGCACAAGATTTTACGATCCCACAGGGAAAAGGGAAAGGTCATTGGGGCTTCCTTTATACACATCTGTGTAATCGAGGTGATTTGCAATAATAACACTGAAAGGCACCCATCATATTTGCAAATCATTTTGTTTGGAATATAAGATGGGTTTTTTTCTAAAATAATTTTAAACTGTGATTAAAAGAATTTGCAAATTCAAAGTCATGATCCAGATAAGGATCCACTGTTAATTATTATTATTGCAAGAAAGAACCTTTATGAGTATAAGTTAATGTATAATGTCTAGTGGAAGTATTCTTAAAAAATATTATAAATGTAATTTTACTTAACCAAATGTACCTTGAGTTACAAAACTAATAAACAAAATATTTACTATAATATTCATTCATGGAAACCAGTTCAAACTTGTTATAAATATAAAACAAATATTTAAAATAACATATTAATTAATACATGTTTTATCAAGAAATTCCTAAAAATTCCGAGTGACATTATTGCAGATAAGATTCGTCTGCTGTTAATTAAGAGAATCTTTAAGCATCGTGACCTCCACAATCGTACATAGATCCGAATGCTTTTTAAATTATTTATCTTATATGTTAAATTTTAAACGGCACATTTAAACTGTTAAAAAAGAATGTTAGCTGATCGATTTAAAAAATGCAATAATGATATTCTTTACCAATAATTACGCTTTATAATATGTAATTAACTCTTGACAAGTGCACTTTACAAAGGCCCCTGGTAATCCTTTTTGGGATTATACACCGATTTCAAGTGGCTTGCGCTTCATAATTAGTTTTAATCGTTGCTAAGCTGTGTTACCCTGCCAAGGGTACAATGTTAAAGATACGGCGGAAGGCTAAACTTACTTAATCTTTAAGTTGAAAGAAAACGTTAGCACTGAAATGGCAAAGAAAGCCTTAAGGTAGTCAAAGCAATTAAAGATCATTAACCTGCTTGGCAAAAGTAGTAAAGATAAGAAATAGTTTGTCTTCGTCAAAACTTTAAAGGAAAACATAAATAAATTATAAGCTAGACTAGTAGAAGTAATCGTTAGATTTAATTTATTATTATCTGCAGGAAATACATTTGAACCATAAGGAAAGCATCTATAAACAAATTGAATATTATATAAAACTACTTCATATATTTGTATTTGTATGTTAAATAACAATGAAGTTATGTCGATTTTACAAACAAAATTCGATCGTTCCTATATTTTAAAACTATAAAAAAGTATACAAAATAAGTTTAGTATAACAAAAGTAAATACATATATTATATATTCTCTATTTGTTTTTGTTTTCAATTGGCAGCTTATACAATACAGTCAACCAGTTTTTAGAGATATACACGAAAATCTACACAATTTAAAATGAAAATTCCCTAAAAAAAAGAAAGAATAGTACTAAAAAAAATTTTTTCGTTAATAAGACTTTTGGTAAAGTTTAATCCAGGTTGACGGACATGACTTTTAAGTCGTATAGAATATTTATACTTTATTGTGTTGCAATTATCTCCCTACAAACTTGGTTTAAAGTTAATTATAAAAAAATATATATTTCATAAATATTTTCTCTCTACACGTTATCTACATCATTTGTGGCTGAGGTTTGTGCATTAGCTAAAACGTAAGCATTATAAATTTATTAGAAAAATACTATTTTTATAAACAATATAGTCAGCTAGTATTGGTCATTTGTGATTTTGTTGAAAACGTAACACTTAAATTTATTCTAAACAATTTTTTAACTTAAATGGTTCTATAAAATTATGCTCCAAAAGTGAGAAAATATAAAAAATAAAACTAACGAGAAAGCTATAAAGCTAAACAACATTAGCGGTTTTAGCGGATATTTGCTTGCTTAATTCGTTTACAGTTAAGAAGTATTAAACATCGTTTTTTTGCCATTGAACAAATTAAAATAAAATTGTCTCTCATTGATAAAATAAATCTGGAAATAAGTGCATTTATTTTACGTTATTAAAGTCCACAAAAAGTGCGATCGGGATTCTTGTCACATAAACTTATTTTATGAGTCAGCCTATTTTCTTATCAGCTATAGTGTTCAGTCTTCACAGTATTTCAATATTAATATTTGTTATTTCGTAGTTTTCTTAAATTTAATTTCTTATCAGTTATAGTGTTCAGACTTCACAGTATTTCAATATTAATATTTGTTATTTCGTAGTTTTCTGAAATTTAATTTCTTATCAGCTATATTGTTCAGTCTTCACAGTATTTAAATATTAATATTTGTTATTTCGTAGTTTTCTGAAATTTAATAATTAAAAATTGCCTCTTTCCTTTTTAATAATGTTGATAAATTTTTTTATTTCAGCAAAAGATCCACAGTTAGGCAAAAATACAGTTGAGGAAATGGAAATGTCCAGAAATATATTGGATTTGCCTCCAGAGATTTTGGATATAATATTCGGCATGCTGGGCGATCAAGAAAAATGTCAATTGGCCCTGACTCATCCAGTTCTTAGAGAGGCTTTTATTTATCACGCTCGAGATCGGTATAATGACGTTCCTACCTCATTTCACTTCAAGCCTTGGAAACTTATTTTGCCGCTTTGTGGATCAAAAGTTCTTCGTGTTGTGGAGAGATTTTACTTTTTAGATGATGATATGATGAGATTAATTGAGCAGCATTGTACCAATTTGCAAAGCATCTGCATGGGTATAAACGAGACAAACTGCCATAAAGTCAAGACCTTTTTAGGCAATTTGAAATCACTGAGATCAGTAAGATTGTGGGTAGAGTGTCCCGTGAGCGACGAAATCTTTAGTTTTCTGAGGAAAATAAAATATTTGCACGGCTTGGAACTTACCCACTATTCTGCAAGTGTTGAAAATTCTTTACAAATTCGTAAATTTCGCAACCTAGAATATTTGTCACTTTTTTTTCCCACTAGAATTCCAATTGATTTGTATGATCTGTGAAACTAAAGAAACTTCGTTCTTAAAGATTTGAAAATTTAAGTAGATGTCAAATCAAACGTTTTACAGAGTCATTCCAAATTTCGGAATAGCGGAGCTCGAGCTTACAAATTGTACTATTACTCCAAAATGGCCAACTTTTCAGAAGCTGAAAACTTTTAGATCCAGTAACTCGGAACATTACTCACTTGTCTTAGAGCATGCAAATACCTTGGAAAAACTAGTTTTCAGCAATGTGTTTTCCACAAAAGAGTTAAATATAATATTATTGAAATATTAACTTTCCGCAAGAATCTACGCTACAAAGCAATAGAATCATTAGGAATAGCTAAGACATTTTGATCAAAATGGCTAGAAACTCAAACTTAATGTACGGACCTCGAGCCGCATAAACCATTCGAATTTAAGCTTTACCACAGGATGAATAATCTTAAAGATTTGGTGAGCTTAGTGTAATAATAATATAATAAAATATTTTTTGTGATACTCCATAAATTAAATTTGTTATGAATGCTTACATATGTATGTATTTGTTTTAATCAGCATAATTTTACGATTTGGATATTCTTGTAATTTGCCATCCCTTCCACTTTTATCATTATTGTTTCAAGTTCATATTAATAGAAACATTTTGCTACATTTTTCTTAAATGTAAAAGAAACGACTCCGTTCATAAATTAGTAGTTAAAATATTTAAAAGCATTATTTGAGCTAACAGTACTTAGTATTTTAGTATATGTTTCATATATACTATATATAATTTTGCATACCTTATATTTATGCAATAGCTGTCGATTTAGAGAATATAAAAAAAACGCCTGCCTGCATAAATTGGTGTGTTTAAATATTTAAAGACCTCATTTGAGCTAAAAGTACTCGGTACTTCAATAAGAAATCTAGCTAAAACTACTTAGTCCAATATCAAGTCTAGGGAACTTAACGCAGACATGAGATTCCAGAGCATCATTATTTTTCTACTTGGTGAGTTCAAGAAATATAATTTTGGATGTGTATTTAACAGTGAGCCATTTAAGCCTTGGTTCATTTGGGGCACGGTATCGAATGCCCAACTACATGTGATCACACAAACGATGTCCACTGTGCTACTGATGGAACCTGTTACCACACAGATTTAAACTATTGCCTTCAGGAAGTGCAGTCATGCTATCGCGAAAGAAGAGGATTGCCAGGTAAGTAACCCTAACAAATTTTAAGACATCCAGTACAGAAAAGTAATTCCTTACAGCCTTCAATCTAATCGTAAAAGGATATTGTCGATGGGGTTTACCCAAGTGCGAACATTTTAGGGACTGAAAAGTATTTGTAACTAAAAATATATTTTAATATTTTTGAAAAGGTATTAAGAAAAATAAATAAATGAAATAAAATAAAATAAATTCCTTTTTTCACAATACCACAGATCAAAAATACACGACTGCACTTTTGCTTTACGAAAACACGTTTGATTTGATCAATAACGTTATTTTTATTAATGGCACAGCAAATGGAACTAAAAATCACATAGCCGAACTCATCGGCGATATGCTATTCGTAACCATAGCATATTTAGGAGTACTTAAACATAAATCTTAAAGTAAAGCATACAACAGGGAAGCACTTGATTGGAAAAACGATAACTCGATCGATCGGTGACTTTATATCCTCAAGGTTAGACGTCTCTGGGGCTTTTGTCGTTCCTTTTCCGCTCGATCCTTGCGCAGCCGAAGGATTTGCTCACCCCGAAGCTCCTTTCGCCTGCCTGGCGATAAATCCACTTTCAGATCTATTGCGGATTCGATCCTCGGAGATCGGCGGCTGATCACAAAATACTCGAGTCATTTGCGAACAACTTTTGCTGGCGCAACCGCACACACCGTTTCGGAGTTTCGGATACCTCCTCGTTCCCAGGAATCAAGTCGTCGTCCTCTATTGTTAACACTTCCTTGAACATTTCTTCGACGGCGGTGAAATACAGCGTGGAGTCGGAGGTCATTGTGAACCTGATGCTGGCGAACAACTGAGCCCGAAAGTGATTGAAGCCAGTCAGGGGACGAGTTTAAAATGCAATTGCCCGGACCACCAGACCTTGGCCACTTTTCAACCCTCGACGAGGTTCCTGGCTACCTGATCCTAGGCTATGGTATACATAAAACTAGGAAAAACAGCTGGAGCGGTAATGAGGGGCTTCCCTGCTGGTAAACCCTCATCTTTACACCATCCTATGTAAACTCGAACTCCCATAGTTCTGCTAAGGATATTTCAAATTTTAATGACTAGAGTTACCAGTTTCTCCAGCAAATTTACAAATTGATATTCCTACTTTAACTATGTTTTTGAAACTTAAACATTTATATGTTTATTTTAAATATGGTTTGATAACACTTGACCATTTTAAGCTTCACTAAAACTTTAATAAAAAATGATGTATTCCTTTTACTTATATATATATTAATCCCATTCTTCTTTACACTTTGTTTCGAGTTAAATAAAAAATAAAATAGCGCACACAATGAATCACATTATTTGCCATATTTCTATGAACAACCGGTAATACCCAACCCTTTTAAAAACGCACAAATTGCTCATTCAGTTGACTCGTTAGATAAGAAAACAAAATCCCATAACGTGCATCCGACTTGATAAGATTAAATAATGAATTGGACAGTTTTGGTTTTGGGTTCGTTTCGATTTCACGGAGTTATTATTATTAATGTAGCTTATAGTATAAATTCATGTCCTCAGATCAGTACTCCTTATTGAAGTAGTCGCGTATACTGCGCTTCACAATGGGCGTCATTTGAGCGACCTGATTCCGCACTTCGTCAGTAGTCTTATCCTTGTGATAGTATACAGTGAAGTAGACAATCAGGCCGATAACGACGACCATCAGAAGCGCAGAAAACACGATGCTCAGAAGCATCTTGCAGGCGCACGAACAGCAACTGTAAAGATATGGAGTTCGAATTAGAAAACTTGTGAATATAAATCGGAACTGTCTAAAACAAAATATTAAAGGCGTCACAAAAGAGGTTTAAGACAAAGTAATCCCGTTGTAATATCATAGCACATCGTCGGTTCAAAATTTTAATACAATCATTAAGAAACTAAATCTCTTTTTTGTGTTTTGTTTTGTATGTATATATCGATTTATATAAAAAGCCGATCCCAAAGCGAACTTTGATTGGATAATCGAAAGGGTCACCACTAGAACCTTTTGGGAATTATAGCTTCGCATGCAAACTAAGCAGTCCCTTTGAATGTTGTTATTAAATCAAAAATAGACTAAGCTTTAATTTAATTATACTTCAATAAAACATAATAAATTTTAGCATGGAATTAAATGTTTGGAACCTTTTTTTGCTTGTAATCCGATGTCTATTCATAGCTTTGTCAATTTTTCCCTTCTGGTCAAGATATTCCACAAAGGTTTGTATCTATGGTGATCAATGAGTCAGGAACCGATGGAAACTTACCAGCAAACCACTTTGCCGGGGCATTTGAGGCATTCACAGAGAGCGTTGCACATGGTGGTGACAGTCGTGGGTTAATATATGATAAGTGGGTGAGTTGTTACGATTCCCGGTTCTCGATGCGTTGTTGACCAACACAAATTCTCGACTGAAGGGGTGAAACTGCCATCGACCGCATTTCGGGTCGACAGGTATTGAAAGCTTTAATCATATCGGGCGAAAAAAAACAATAAACTGATAACGAGTCGGTTATAATTAACACGACGCCAGGGAAAACAGTGGGAGAGGAATATTAAAAAAATAGAGCTTACACTCTTTATAAACGGGGTATCATTAACCATCATTTGGATCTGGTAATTTGACCATCCCGCCATCTCAGGACGAAATAAATGACAACGGCAATTCTTAAAACCGCCAATATAGCACAGAAAATAATTGCATTTCGAAAATTCCAGCACATGTTTTTTGACAATTTTGAAACTAAATATTTCTCTCGTCTCGGGTGTAGGGGGATGTATCATAATAGCTATCGTATATGTGGAATAATAAAAAGAAAAGTATTGTAATCGCGACAATAACCACAATAGTTAAAACTAATCGACGATTCCAGCACATAGTACCTCCACATAAGATTTTAGCTACGAAATATTTCTCAAAAACACGGAATTTGATTAGGGTCGCAAAGGTAGATGATCATAATATACTGGTGTAAGGGGACAGCCGTGACAAAGACAAATGATTTCAGTCGGGAAAAGATATGGGGCATACTTTTCAGATTGATTAAAGACAAAAATCAACATTGGGTTCTTTCCGCACACAACAGTTTTCTATTTTTAAAGTATTACTGAGCGGGAAGTAATATAATTGTTATCTCTGAAAAAACTCTGATAGAAACTTTCTTTGATTGCTCCCCAACTCGAAAACTAAAGAACCGGAATGGGGATTTGGTAATCTCTCCCGAAAAGACCTATTAGCTGATAATAGAAAGCTGTCAATAACTTAATGAAGTGGTAATGTACTAAGAAGCTATTGTTGAAGTGGAATTTGTAAACTACCCTATCCATATCATTTGAAAAAATGTGAAAAGATATTTTGAAAAAACATTAAACGTGGTTTCTATATTACAAACCAATCCGCTTTCTAATTGGCAATATTAGTCATGCCTTAACGGTCCTGCTTTATCCTTATCAAATTTGGTCTCCGGATGTACCATCACATATGGTAACAAGAAAGGAAAGCTAACTTCGGGCGGAGCCGAAGTTGAAATACCCTTGCAGAATATTCTTCAAATTATATTCTCCAAAATTATTCATATGATGCATTCTTAATACTCATAAAAAATCCCAACTTCCCAACTTTAAAAACACCAAAGTTATGGCATTTCCAATCGTTCAGTTATGTATATGGCAGCTATAGAATATAGTCGGCCGATCCTTATGAAATTTGATATGTCGGATTGATTGGGCAAAAATAAAACCCATAGAAAATCCCAACTTCCTAACTTAACAAACACCAAAGTTATGGCATTTCCGATCAATCAGTTATATGGCAGCTATAAGATATAGTCGGCCGATCCTTATGAAATTTGGTAGGTCGGATTAATTGGCCAAATATAAAACCCATAGAAAATCCCAACTTCCTAACTTTACAAACACCAAAGTTATGGCATTTCCGATCAATCAGTTATATAGCAGCTATAGGATATAGTCGGCCGATCCTTATGAAATTTGGTACGTCGGATTGATTGGCCAAATATAATACCCATAGAGAGTCCCAACTTCCTAACTTAACAAACAGCAGAGTTATGGCATTTCCGATCAATCAGTTATATGGCAGCTATAGGATATAGTCGGCCGATCCCGGCCGTTCCGACTTATATACTGCGTGCAAAGGAAAGAAGGGTGTGTGCAAAGTTTCAATTCGATATCTTTAAAACTGAGAGACTAGTTCGCGTAGAAACAGACAGACGGACAGACAGACGGACAGACGGACAGACGGACAGACGGACATGGCTATATCAACTCAGGAGGTGATCCTGATCAAGAATATATATACTTTATAGGGTCGGAGATGTCTCCTTCACTGCGTTGCACACTTTTGACCAAAATTATAATACCCTCTGCAAGGGTATAATAACAATAACTGACAAAACTTACCAGCAAATAACTTTGCCAGGACATTTGAGGCATTCACAGAGAGCGTTGCACATGATGATGGCAGTCGTGGATTAAGTTGGTGTATGTGGCTTATATGTTATCTTCCCGAAAAGGACTCCAATAAACGTGCTCCCAAATTTCGTTGTGTTCTTGACCAACCCAAAAGAATAACTGGCTCCTATTTCAGTGCAATTTTCCTCTTTTGTGGCGACTGTTATGGAAAGCTTTCATCGCATTGATGAACATAGAGAGAAACTGATAAAGATTAAGTTATGATTAATTCGATCAGAAGAGAGGAATCAGAAAAAAAGCTTCTTTTTTTTTCTGTACGGGAATTCCTTGTAGGCGTCACTTGGGAGTGATTTCTTGATGGATCCTTCGGACAAAATAAAAGACTACATTTAATTTAAGTACAAAAGTGATAAAAAGTATTTTTATAACCCATTAAATACCATTTTACAACGTTATGGCACAAAAACCGGATAACCTATTTCAGGATAAACTTGAAAATAATTATTTAAGCACGACAAACAACAAGGTTACTTTTCCATTAGTATTGTAGCGCTTGCTCGGAAAAAAAGATACTTTTCTAGCGCCATCTGTTGGATGTTGGAGAGAAGGTATTGCGTTGCCACTAGAGTTGATAAGAGACTAGTAGATATCGGTAGGATAGCCGCGAGAGAGCAACAGTGGCAAGTGTCAACTGTCTCCGCATTCACCCTGAATTCGATCTGGGGTTACCGCCACTTTTCCGGCGGCGTGTTCTTTTTTTCCGTTTGGCAGCAGCAGAGTGAAGTCGAGAATTCGCAGTGACTAAATTAAAATTCGAAAGTACACGCGAGTGATCTCACTTTAGTGCCGAAGGGAAGGAGTTAAACAATTTGGCTTTAAGCCTCATAAAAAGGGCCACCGTTGGATTGATGTTCGAAGGCGGCAAAGTAAAATAAAGGCGAGTTCGATCGAGACGAACGGGCGCCCGCGCAGTTCACATAACGAGCGAGCAACCTCCACGCCAGATATTCAACTCGGAACAACAGCGCACAAGGAAGGGCGAAACGAAGTGTCTATTCATATTTCCATCTTTAATCATCCCCATTATCCGGTGTGTCAGCCCCAAATTTCATAAGCCAGAAAAGTGAGCTAGGCGCCGTCTGACCATCGAGCCGTTTAATCGAGGCGAACTAAACACAGGTTCGATCGAACCGATTTATCAGTTTCTCTTTGCTCGGAGTGCGCATGCGACGTCGCGGCTACGGTCTGTGCTTTTAAAAGTAATTCTCGGGGAGTTAGAAAGACCATACTTAGGCCAAGAAAATCCTCGCCGTTTCGGCCAAATCCCGGTCGGAAGGGTTATCGGAGTACTCGCCACGGATAAGCGGGAAGTTTAGGTTTAAAATTCAGTTTAAGTTATGTAATAAGTGTTCGTTCGTCAAAAGTAGAGAAAAAAAAATTTGATTTTATTTTGTTCGGTGAAAGTGTGGTTTGGGGATAAATTCCTATTCATATCCCGGAGAAGGTAGTGCTGATGCCATCAGAAGGTCTTCACGGGCTGTACATTCCGCTTTTTATTTAATTCCTGATTTACAAAATATATATGTCTCTGTGAGTGTGTTTCCCTTATTCAACCTTATTTAGCCATCGTCAACGAGGAAAGCGCTTTCGTCGGTGGATGGACATAAGTGTGGTGAGTTTTTAAAAAGAAAATCTATACAAAATCTTATAAGAAAAGTCAAAAGAAATAGCTTAAAGTCTATAATGCTAACCTAAAAGAAAAAAACGAATATGGAGAAATAAAGAAACAAAAAAAATTGCTACACTCAAAAAAAAAAAAAAAAGTAAATTAAATTGAATTCAGATTGAACTAAAAGCTGATTATGAATATCGTGATGCATCCTTCAGTTTAAATGGTGAAAATAAAGTTAAAGTCAAAATTGGATTAGAAACAAATTAAATAAAATATGAAGATTTTTCTCTCGAGTGATATGATCCCCATGCCTCAGTTAACCATGTTTGCATCAACCAACAAGTTTTTTTAAATTGCCTTACACACCCATTATTTATCCTATTTTAACTTATATATATATATTTATTCATTGTTTATATTTATTTATTTATTTTATGCCTGTCTTTTTACGGTTTAATTTAAGAAATGGTTTATATATCTAGTTATTAATAAAATGTTATAATGTTTTGCTAAGGTGAAAAGTGGCCGCAGCTAGCGTTGTCTTATAATGTAGAGTAGCACTTGTTAAAGGGGTCGCTCAGGCTGTTAAGCTCTGAGGATATGAGCGACCATTGGTAGGGTGGGCAAGACCAGGACCTCCACAACATCCAGGGAGGCGAAAAGGAGAAGTCAGCCAAAATGGGAAAGTAGGGAATATAAAGTGATGATTTAATGTGTGTGTTTCTCTAACCCGGTTTCAGTTTGGTGATGCACGCGAGTATCTAGTTATTATTAGGGAAGGCATTCCGAGGTAACAGCAAGACCATCACACCCATAGCCGAAGAGCCAGAGCCGGATATATTTTTTCGCGTGCGCTGGTATCTCGAGACAACATCCAGCCTGATTTGTATTAATAAGTGTAGCGGTTCGTTACAGTTATGAATTATAAAATAAATAATAATAATAAAAAGATTGGCGCCCTAACGTGTTGGCCACATATAGGATTATAAGTGACTCACACACACACATATTACATAATCGCTGTTCAAAATTTTCTATCAGTCAGGGGGTGGGCTAATACCAGTCAGTGTTTACGTTCAGTCATTTACCCAAGGTTGCCCCAGCTGCTAGAAAAACATATGTTGGTTTCCACTCGGAGTTGTTCGGAAGCATAGGAAAACGGAACAGAAGTTGAAAAGAAGAGGGATCAGATTGAATTGCCTAGCCGACCGCAGACGACAACATCGAGGTAGGAAGCATACAGACGTGTGTATACCCTACACAGTGCAACCCGAGTCAGGCACATCAAACGCATAGGACTAGCAGGTGCATTTGCTTTCATAAGCGAAGCAGCTGACCACGGATGATATGCATAGACAAAGGGGCACGACCATTTTCATAGATGGGACATAGTTTCCGGTTAATATTCGCATAGGACACACTGAGCTTTAATCTTTCAAAAGAGACACTCAGGCCACGGATAATAGCGGAAGACATATGCCCAACATAAACGGAAGAGTAGAAGTGTCAGCCGCATGGACCGCAGACAGAATTTTGTTTGACCACGGCGGACTCTTCGCGCTGCTGATTAGCGATAAGCAATGCTCGCCAATTTTTTTTTCCCAATTCCTTTTTGTGCTGATCGAAACCTTTTGGTTGTATAAAAGTGCATTATTATTGCAAGCAACTAGCTATGCTTGCTGGCCAGACTTTTGATATTGATTTTCGTTATTGTTTTATCGTTTTTATATATTTATCTTTGTCTTTATTTATCGTATCTAGTGAACAACTTCAGATCAGAAATTATTTATTAAACTGTTGAACTTAAAAAGCATACAACCTAAAGAAAAAAATCAACATTTTTAAGTCCAAGTTTGATGCTCAAGCTACCGGTTTGATCAAACTTGTTTGAACTAAGTAGATCTGGTGGATCGGAACTTGGATAAATTTTCATGTATTTATATCTAGGAATTTATATCTTTCTCATTCCTGGTACCTTGGTTCGAGTCGTTGTAAACTCTCGCTCGGTGTAACGCGTAGAATCACCATATTTTTACTTCGTTTTGGTAATTTAAATAAAAGGTCGCTAAGAGATAATGGATTTAGACGCTTCAGGGCCGTCAAAATGTGTGATTTGCGACAAATTGTTGTCGGCGGACCAAGTAGCCCGTGCCAAATGCGGCCACGAGTTCCACAAGGATTGTTTAGAAATTCAAATAAAGGCTAAGGGCAGTTGCCCTGGTTGCCATCCCAAAGGAGAAAGCAGTAAGCAAAAAGGATCAACTAGTAAACAAGCAACCAGTGCAGCGGACTCTGAGGCTATCAGTATCATTGTGGCGCAGCAGCTGAAAGCGATGCAAAATGAACTGCTAATCCAATTAACTGATCGGATGGCACCAATAATTCAGGCAACTTTATCTGCCCATATTCAAGAGCCGTCAAGACAAGAAGCAGTCCATAATTTCAGAGCACCGTCGGATATGGGGGGAGATCGAAATGCCGGAGAGGCCCATTTCAGCTTTTACAAGCTCTGATTTGAGCAGTCGTCCCGATAAGGTCGGACAGATCATTAGTAGTTGGAAGTTGCGTTTCAATGGAGACAAAGAAGGGTTAAGTGTGGATAAGTTTCTATATCGGGTGGAGGCGTTAACACGCCAAACGCTTAATTCAAGGTTTGACTTGCTATGCGGCAACGCCAGTGTACTGTTCGAGGGAAAGGCTCGCGAATTTTATTGGCGCTTTCATAAAACATCGGATAGCTCAAGGTGGGATTTGCTTACTGAAGCTTTACACAAACAGTATCGAGATACGCGTAATGATGTGGATCTGAGAGAGTCAATACGAGATAGAAAGCAGAAAGATAGGGAAAGTTTCGACTCGTTCTACGATGCCATTGTGCAAATCACGGACTGCCTGGAAGTACCCATGCCAGAAAAGGATCTAATCGAAACGCTTCGCAGAAACTTACGACCGGAAATCAGGCACGAGCTTTTGAATGTAAGCATAGAATCTGTGCAGAAGCTAAGGGATATTTGTCGGCGTAGGGAAGGTTTTCTTGAGGACGTGAAGCGTACTTATGGTTACCAAAAGCCAGCTCCATATCGGACGCAAGTATCTGAGTTAGTACAAGATTGTGAGGACGCTTCGGAATTTTCGGAAGCGAATCAGGTACCACGGGTAGAGGCTTTCGGGTTGGTGTGCTGGAATTGTAAGCAAGAGGGTCATCGGTATCAGCAATGCAAGATGAAAAAAAGGGTATTTTGCTTTGGATGCGGCTTGGCTGATACCTACAAGGATGCCTGCCAAAGGTGTCAAAAAAACCCGAGGTTGAACACACGACCCCGGCAACAGCCGTGTGTTCTCCGAGAAAGGCCAGCGGATTCCGTTGTCAACCAGAAGTAGCTTTAAGCGCACCCGAGTCAGGCAGAGAGGGGATATCTCAAACCTTTTGGCCACAGCTAATGAAAAATAAATCATCATCAGATTTTACAGCAAACCCAGTTAGAA